GAATATAGTCAAACACTGCTGCAGTTAAATATTTTACCCTTTGTTCTCCCTGCATGATCTACAATAATAATCTGCTTCGTGTTGATATTTACTGCTGTGTTGCTGACAGTTACCTGAAAGAGAAGGTGGGGTGCTTCACTGGGCTGGAAAAAGTTTAGCTACATCAGAAAGCAGTTCTAATTAAGCAAGTTTATTCTATCCTATATAATAAAAGGCTAATATGCAAATCGACTGAACGGCGGAACGACTGGTCGCTATGACGTGCACTGACCACCAAGGGGCAGACACTCAACGCAGGCTGGTCTGAGGGACCGCCCCCACCAAGTGCACGATTTTCGTGCATTGGGCCTCTAGTATATATATAAAAGGCTAAGTTGACTTGTACATGTGTGATACATATAAAGCATGCGTGTATTTTGATCTGTCATTGTCGATTGTGAATTTGGTTGACACTTCTATTATAGAGAAAGGGCGAATAGCGATATTAAAATATTTCTTCTAATTAATTTCCTTTCAGTGTGTGAATCTGTGCACCGGGCCACTAGTCATTACATAAACCAAAGCATAACAACAAAATAGATGCAGTCTTGAAGGATGTTGTTTGAAATAATTTGGGCTAGATTGTTTTTCAGCCTCTTTGGTTTAATTAAATTGAATCTTTAGGCAAAAAGGCATTTGCTGATAAGTGGAGATGTTCCTTTTTGACCCCTAAGAGATGACCTTTCTTTCCTATCTTGCAGAGAGCCTGCAATACTTTACAGTACCTAGGATATGGTCTGGGGGGGAAATTCAATTAAATCCTTAAGATAGAGTCTTTATTCCAGTTGTTTGAAAGTTGGATTGTAAAAAATTATTTATAATGACATTATAAAGAAATTATTTATAATGACATTCTTAAAAGTACACATTAGCCAAATAGTATTTTAAGAACAATAAGAGACATTTTTTAAACTAAGGGAGAAATTACCTAGGTATACATACTAGAACAGACCTTTTTGTTCATTTTTTTCTGTTTTCTCATTCATATACAAATACGTATTTTATTTTGATCACAGCATATGTTTAATTTTCTGCCTCTTTTCCACTTAATTTTATATCAGAATTCTTGTTTAAGTTAGTATTGAAGTCTTATTAGCTGTAAGATGTGACATTACATTTTTTATACCATTAAGAACAATTTTAGATATATGCAGAAATGGACAGAATAGAGTAATGCATCCCGTGTACTGTCACCAGCTTCGGCAGTCATCAGCTCATGTTAGTCTTGTTTTATTAATTTCCACCACCTTCCCCTCAATACATTTGAAGCAAATCCTAACGTTATTGATTTCATTCATAAATATTTCAGTACATATCTAAAAAAGTAAGGACTCTTTAAAAGAAAGTAAAACAACATTGTCACACCTAAAAATAATTAACAATAGCCCTGGCCAGTGTGCTCAGTGGGTTGGAGCTTCGTCCTGTACACTGAAAGGTTGAGGGTTCAATTCCCAATCAGGACACATACCTAGATTGTGGGTTCGATTCCTGGTCAGGAGGCAACTGATCAATGTTGCCTCCCTCTCCCTCCTTTCCTCCCTTCCTTTCTGTAAAACATCCTCAGGTGAGGATTTAAAAAAAGGAATATTTTTTAAAAATTAATATAATTCCTTAATATCATGAAATATCGAGATAGTGTTCAAGTTGTTAGTTGTCTCACAAATGTCATTAAATTTTTATTTTAAAAATTTGAGTCTGGCCTGTGTAGCTCAGTGATTGAGCATCGACCTGTGAACCAGGAGGTCATGGTTTGATTCCCAGTCAGGGCACATACCTGGTTTGTGGGCTTGATCCCCAGTAGGGGGCATGCAGGAGGCAGCTGATTAATGATTCTCTATCATCATTGATGTTCCTACCTCTCTCTCCCTTCCTCTCTGAAACCAACAAAAATACATTAAAATTTTTTTTTATTTGAATCAAAATCCAGATAAGATCCAGCCATTGCAATTGGTTAATAGGACTTTTGAAAGTCTTTTAAGTCTGTTTTAATCTTTTTCCTTTGAAATTTATTTATTAAAGAAATCAGGTTGTTTATCCTATAGAATTTTTCAGTTTGGGATTTGCTGCCTGCATTTCCACTTAACATGATCCTTTATATTTCCTGTCAACTGGTAGTTGGATCTAGAGCCAGATGCCCTATAAATGTTATGTATTTACATATTCCTGGCCCTTAGGGGTCTATACAGATAGTAGTGGGGCATGTGAGTCTCTTCAATATTCTAAAGTACTGAATCTTTTCAGCTAATAAGGCTGTATAAACTAACAACATTGTCTAGTTTCTTTGATTTTTGCCTAGAGTCATATAATTTTACTGTGATAAGCATATTATTCCATGCTGATCAAAAACTGTCTGAAAATTATATTAGCCACTAATGAAACAAATGGGCAGGTCTATTGCTATAACAGTAATCATTTATTTGGTAGGCAAATTTTTTTTTGTTTTTTCCTCTCCTAAATATATTTTGATTGATTTCAGAGAGGAAGGGAGAGAGAGAGAGAGAGAGAGAGAGAGAGAAACATTAATGATGAGAATCATTGATCGGCTGCCTCCTGCACACCCTCTACTGGGGATTGAACTTGCCACCTGGGTATGTGCCCTGACCAGGAATCGAACCGTGACCTCCTGGTTTATAGGTTGACGCTCAACCATTGAGCCATGCCGGCCAGGCAGGCAAAATCTTTTTTAGCATGGGGTTCAAAAGAGAAAAATAGAGTGGTTATTTAGTGGGGTATAAGTTGAGGAGTAGTACATTTGCAGATTTTCTCCTTAACTCCAGCCTACATTTTAAATATTCAAAAGCCCATCATTTAAAACCTACAAGAGGAATTCTTTACATAGACCAATCTGGCTTCTTTAGTAGGATTGTAAAGAACAGTAAGGTTCTTCTGTAGAATGACTTCTAAAAAATTTCTCCTCTTATTGGAATATTAAAATTTTCTTCTTTGTATAATTCAGAATCCTAAAGGCAGTGTAGAATATATGATGAAAAGTCTGCTTTCTACCTCTGTCCTCCCAGCCACATGTCCCTGAAGACAGCCTGTGAGTGGTTGGACTAGGACACTGGTCGGCAAACTCATTAGTCAACAGAGCCAAATATCAACAGTACAACGATTGAAATTTCTTTTGCGAGCCAAATTTTTTAAGCTTAAACTCTATAGGTAGGTACATTGTTATTAACTTAATTAGGGTACTCCTAAGGCTTAGGAAGAGCTACACTCAAGGGGCCAAAGAGCCGCATGTGGCTTGCGAGCCGCAGTTTGCCGACCACGGGACTAGGATCACTTTTGAGACCCCCTTCCAGTCCTGACATTCTAGGATTCCATGAATCTGAAGAACTGATTTAATTGGGGGTGTTACTTTTTAGTTTTTAGGTTATCCTTCTACAGTGATTTAATGTATATGCAAGTAAATGTATCTACATATTCTTTTTGCTTCCTCTTAATATAACAATGTTTATTGTTGTTCACAGAAGTTTTAGTTGGTATTTCAGGAAGAAAATGCTTTTACTTTCCTTAAAAATTCAAATGGTATTAAAAGACTATTATGCTTTTCAATAACCCAATGTGTAATGGAGGCAATGGGATGCAGTGGGTTGGGAGTTGGGGACCAGTCCTAGCTTGGCTATGAGCTTGTGTGCCTTGAGTAAGTCATTCCGATGTCTTACTGAGTGAAAATGAGGCCGTTCAATGATACGATTTCTTTTCTTTTTTTTTTTAAATATATTTTATTGATTTTTTACAGAGAGGAAGGGAGAGGGATAGAGAGCTAGAAACATCGATGAGAGAGAAACATCGATCAGCCGCCTCCTGCACACTCCCCACTGGGGATGTGCCCGCAACCAAGGTACATGCCCTTGACCGGAATCGAACCTGGGACCCTTGAGTCCGCAGGCTGACGCTCTATCCACTGAGCCAAACCGGCCAGGGCAGTGATACGATTTCTAATGCTGGAAGTGCTGTGACTCTCAATCAGTGTAATAAACCCGGTTGTTTTTGTTTCAGCGAGGGGATACGAGTATGTTTTGGAGCCCTCACCGGTTCCACTGCCTCTGGACAGACCTCAGGAGACACGGGTGCTGCAGGTCTCTTGTGGCAGAGCCCACTCGCTTGTCCTCACAGACAGTGAAGGAGGTAAGGACTAATGGAGGCGGGGGGACTTCTTTCTTGCCAATGGGCCTAAAGTGGCTCATTTGATTGAGCCAGGTCTGTTTAGTGAAGCTGTTGGCATTTCCTGAGCAGATCAGCAGGATGCTCAAGAGAGCTGTATTGGGCAGACCTTGCTATATCTCTTATGCTCTCTGCTCTCTGTGGTTCTTTTTTTTTTTAAAAAAAACATATTTTATTGATTTTTTTACAGAGAGGAAGGGAGAGGGATAGAGAGTTAGAAACATTGATGAGAGAGAGAGAAACATCGATCAGCTGCCTCCTGCACACCTCCTACTGGGGATGTTGCCTGCAACCAAGGTACATGCCCTTGACTGGAATCGAACCTGGGACCTTTCAGTCCGCAGGCCGTCTCTGTGGTTCTTGGAAAATCTAGGTTATCTATAGGTGTGACAACACACATCAGGCAGCCTTACCAAGGCCTCTCCCTTCCTTTGCATAACTCACCGAGCTGGGCTGCTTCTGAAAGAAGTCTGTTTGCTAAACACTTCTTCCAGGTGGTGGGGCCTTTTAGTGTCCAGGCTTCTGGGTAATCCCCACCCTCTCCAGAACAGCAGTCTCTATGGAAAGGCCAACTTGACTAAATTTCTCAAATTTCATTTTCTGGCTAAGTGTGCTTTGTAGGAAAAGGTGAGGAGAGTGTTTAGGAGCTTTTTCAAGAGGAATTTTTGCATCAAGGGCAACCTAGTGACAGGTTTAAGAAATGGTGGTGCTGAGGCCTTCACAGGAGGTGCTTACTTTGTGTAAGGTGGGATTTCTGAGAGGTGGAACTAGGGCCCAGAGGGGAGGGCAGAAGGGACAGTAAAGGTGGCGCACACTGCTGTGGCAGGTCTAGACCTCAACATGCCTGTGGCTCTGCCTGTACAGGATGCGAATGTTGGAGAAGGAAACGAAATGGCAGCTAGGGTGAGTGGTTGGACTAGGATCACTTTTGAGACCCCCTTCCAGTCCTGACATTCTAGGATTCCATGAATCTGAAGAACTTATTTAATTGGGTGTGTTACTTTTTAGTTTTCAGCATGGGAAACAATTCTTATGGGCAATGTGGAAGAAAAGTGGTCGAAAATGAAATTTACAGGTAAGTTCCTGCTATCCCTTTCCCCAGTTGTGTTAAACATTAAACATTTCTTGAGTGATAGATCCACAGAGCAGTAAGAGGGTTCCTCATGTGTGTGAGGAGCAGTGAGAACTCACTGGAAAGCTGTGGGGAAGATTGTTCCATTGCAGGTTGATCACCATGCATTAGCTAGGTGGGAGGGGCGGGCGCATGAGCATTGATTGTGATGTGTAGAAGTTTTTTAAATTAGTTTTGTATTTTTAACCAAATTGATTAACTTCAAAAATTCCCCTCTATTTCAGTCTTACTCATTTAGTCTAAAAAATAAAAACACAAAACATTTTCCCTCTAGTTCATTGCATTGTGCTGGTGGTTCTGAATACTACCAGTCTCAACTCTGGCAGCATATGAAAATCATCAAAGGGTTTTGTTTGTTTTGTTTTACTTTAACACCTTGGTCTAATTCTGCCTTATATTTGACCTTGAAAGTTTCTCTAATAGTTACTATATATGGGGGCCACAGTTAAGGGTGACAGGGGAGGGGCCAGAACCCCACAGTGCTTGCCATGAACATACCTTTTGCTTCTCCCCAAATTGCTCCTGGTGTAGTGAAAGTCACAAGGTCCATAGGATGCAGGACTTCGATGGACAAGTGGTCCAGGTAAGAGGCATGGGCTGAAAGCCACTCATCCTGCTCCCTGGGGCACTTTGAAAGGGGGAAAGATGGGTGGAGTGATGGCAAACTTGGTAGGCAGATTTTCTGAATTAATAAATCATTCAGTAAAAATTACTGCTCGCTTACTGTAGCCACAATTCGCAGTAGATCGCCAGCGGACAAAGTTTAATCAAGTTTGGGGGATAACACTCTAGTCTGAGACACAGGTTAAGAAAGCTAGCTGTATCAGAGCACTGTGTATCAGAGCCTGGCTTTATGTTATTCCCATTCCTGACGTCGTGCCTGGCACATGGTCGGTACTTATAATGAATACCCAAATAAGGGAACGTATACAGAAAATGCTATAGAAGTAGCAGAAGGGGAATTGTTAAGTCTAGCAGGCGTGGAATGGAAGGGGAAAAAAGCACCATGGGAGAGGTAGCAGAGGAATTGACCAGGTAGACTGGGGAAGGATGGGAGGAAAAGTTTTCTGGCAGAGGGGAGGGAGCAGCTGGAGGCGCTGACTGCTGAGAACGTGTAGTGGGGCTGGAGTTTGGTATGCTTATGGGAGAGTGGTGTGGGATAGGCTGGAAGACAGGTTCAGAGTGGACAGTGCGAGGTCTTGAATGCCTTGCTAAGGAGTTTGGACTTCATCCTCTTGACAGTTGGGGCCTATCAAAGGTTCTAATCAAGGGGAGTGACAGCCAAATCAATATCTGTTTAGAAAGGTAACTTTGGCCATGGTATGGAGTAGAGGGGCGAGGAAGGGATGAAGGTCACTTGGGAAGCTGTGGGGAGAAGGGATGGTGGGAGACAGATAAGGAGAATTGACTAGTTTGGGCCTTGATTAGCGGGGCAGGGAGCATGCTAGAGGGAGCTGAGCATGATTGCATAGGCAAATGACTTGGCTGCTCATGTTCTCAACCTAGATAGGGACCTATTGGAGGAGGGGCAGGCGTGGGTTGGCTGGGAGAGGGGGTGCCCGGAGGAGTGAGAGAGTGGATTTGCAGTGGAATGTAGTGTTTCAAAGTCACAGGGATGTAAGTTTAACTCCTTGCTTCTCCACATATTAACAGGGTGACTTTGGATAAGTTACCAAACTTCTCAGAGGTTCAGTTTCTTACTGGGTGGTCTTGGTTATTGACTTAGCACGAAGTGCCTGACATATTAAGTGTTCAGTAAAGAGTGCTTTTCATTAGACAGTTAGGAAAATAGGTCCAAACTCAGTAGATTTGTTGGGACTGGAGGTAACAATGCGGAGGTGACAGCGAACGCCTTGGGAATGGATGCAGTCTCCTGGGAAATGTGAAGGCAGGAGAGAAGAGGGCAGAGGACAGAACTTTGGAGGAGTCCACCACCGAAGGGTAGGAAGTAGAGGCTTAGAGAGGCAGAAGGGGAACAGTGAAGAGAAAGGCTTTTGGAGGAGGGAGCGGCTCCTCAGGCGTGGAGGCAGTGGAGGAGCTCTTAGGCTTGCTCCTTAGGACACCTGGCACTTTACTTTAGCAAGAGCAGTTTCAGTGGAGTGGGAGACTGCTGGTGCAGTACATTGAGAATGAATAAGAGGTGGAGACAGTGTGGGGCATCCTCCCTGGCTGGACCCCGTCTGCTTGGTGCTCCGGAGCGGTAGGGAATGCTATGGGCTTCAGGTCCATTGACTGGGATGCTGGGCTTCGAAGAATTCTCATCAACCTTATCTCTGTTTGTCTGATAGGTCACCTGTGGTCAGGACCATAGTCTGTTCCTAACGGATAAAGGAGAAGTCTATTCTTGTGGATGGGGTGCGGATGGGCAAACAGGTATTGTACCTTTCACCCCGGGGGATAGTGCAGTATGGCACTGTGAGCTGTAGGGTTCTCATAGGCTAGAACCCATCTTCCTTAATTTGACTCTTACCTCTCTTAATGCTTCCTGGGGAACAATAATCGTTTCTCCTGTCCCCGTTCCCATAGGAATGAATTATAAAGAATTGGATAGAGGATTGGAGCCACTTCTCAACAAAGGAGTTCTGAGCCTTGTAAAGAAACAAGTGCCACCTAAAAGGAGCTCCATTTTAACTGATTTCAGAAGAATATCATTAAGGGAGGAAGGAATGAGGGTTAAGCTTTCACACCTTGTATATTTAATCTTTTTGTTTTTGAAATTTATCTGAAGGGCCTTTAAATTTAAGATTTAAATCTTGTTTAAATCCTCAGTAATCCTACCATCACCAAATTGTCTTTGTTCCGTCTCATGTTTTCTTCCAGTCCTTGTTCATATAAGTATATCTTTTTATGTTGTAATGATAGCATTGGTGTGATTTTTATATGTTTGTTTTATCATTTAAATTTATATAAAATAGTTTTTCATGTTAATAGAACTTTCACAGTTAGGGCTCCATCTGAACCATTTCAAGACGTACAGTTCACTGATATTAAGTACATCTGCATTGTTGTGCAACCCTCATCACCATCTATTTCCAGAACTCTTTCATCTTGTTAAACTGAAACTTTATTATACCCATTAAACAGTAACTCCCCATTCTTTCCTCCTCCCAGCCCCTGGCAACTGTTGTTCTACTTTCTGCCTCTATGAATTTGACCATTCTTGGTGCCTTGTATAAGTGAATCATGCAGTATTTGTTCTTTGTGTCACTAGCTTATTTTACTTAGCATAATGTCTTCAAAGTTCATCCATTGTGTAGCATCTGTCAGAATTTCCTTTCTTTTTAAAGCTGGATAATTTTCCCTTGTATGTATATAACACATTATGCTTATCCATTCATCTATTGATAAACACTTGGGTTGCTTCTACCTTTTAGCTATTGGAATAATGTTGCTGTGAACATAGGTGTACAAATATCTCTTTGAGACCCTGCTTTCAACTCTTTTGGGTATATATACCCAGAGGTGGAATTGCTAGATCATATGGTAATTCCAGGTAAAAATTTTTGAGGAACTGCCATACTGTTTTGCACAGTAGCTGTACCATTTACATTCCTACCAGCAATGTATGAAGTTCTACTTTCTCCACATCCTCCCTAACATTTGTTATTTTTGTGTGTTTTTTGTACTAGTGGCCATCCTAATGGGTGTGAAGTGGTATCTCATTTGTGATTTGCATTTCCTTAATGATTAGTGATTTGAACATCTTTTCTTATGCTTATTGCTTGCCCCTTTGTATATTATCTTTGAAGAAGGTCATTTTTTAATTGGGTCATTTGTTTTTGTTGTGGTTGTTGAATTTGTTGTATATTCTGAATATTAATCTCTTATCAGATATTTGATTTGCAAGTATTTCTCCCATTTTGCCTTTTTACTCTGTTGGTAGTAGCTTTTGATGCCAGTGTGACCCTGCTTTGAGCCCCTTGTGAGGAAGCCCCTGGAAGCCAGAGTCTGTGGTTTAGTGTTTTGCCTCCCAATGCTGCTCAGGGATTACCCTCCATTGCAGTGCTGATAATGACATTGTCCTTCAGGCAAGCCCTGTGTTGTCCTGTTTACTGTTTACCACGCTGATTTGCCTGTTTCTGTTTACTTTTTTTGGGTGGCTGAACTGTAGAGATTTCCTTGATTTTTCCAGCAAGCTCAGCAGTGCATTAGAAGTTGCTCGTTTTAATATATGCAAGGTCTCATATGTTCATTGTATAGTGGGCTTTCATCTTGAGAACTTTTCTAACTTGAATTGTACCTAGAAAAGTCCAGGAGTTTTCATATGATCTAGTTACAATGATGCCTTTTTCTGCCTCTGAGAGCACATGGAGACGGAAGTTGCCTGGCATGCAGAGGAACAGTTAGGATTTTTGATATTTGTAAAGAGCTCAAAATGTGTTTGGCATATAGTAAGTCTGTTTAAGTTGTAGAATAAATTATTAAAAGTATTTTCTATTGTATTAGGTCTGGGTCACTACAATATCACCAGTGTACCCACCAAGCTGGGTGGAGACCTTGCAGGAGTGAAGGTGGTCCAGGTTGCCACCTACGGTGATTGTTGCCTGGCTGTGTCGGCTGATGGAGACCTCTTTGGTTGGGGCAACTCTGAGTATCTGCAGCTGGCCTCTGTCACGGACTCCACACAGGTATGAGGTCGCTTATAGCATGGTGCTGGGAGGTTTGTAAATATAGCGTGTTAATGACATTTCTAAGAGTTTCTTCACCAAAGTGTGATGTATAAAGTGCTAGGATGTTAAGACCTAACCTGTTGTAAGACTGCCTCTTCAAGGCTCTACAACCTTTAAAAAAAAAAAAAAAAAAACAACCTGGCAGGACTGAAACTGCCTCAAAAATTTATAGGAAGGAAATAAGGAACAGACAGTGGAAATGTGACTATTCAAATAAGACTCACTTAGAGGGCATGTGCCCTGACAGGGAATCGAACTGTGACCTCCTGGTTCATAGGTTGACACTCAACCACTGAGCCACACCAGCCGGGTAAGGTTCCAAGTTCTTGACAATTTCATTGGAGCCCAGAAAGAAAGCTTAAGTGCAAAAGCCATTTTTTTAATCAATACTTTGATGAGATAGTCCTGGTTTAGGGCAGTATTTTAGGTATGCCTGGATAACGAGGCTATTTACCTAAGTTCCTACGATGTCACACTGTTGTGTTTTGTTGCAGTGTAACATATGCCCCAAAAGCACACAGATCATATGCATGCAGCTCGATTAAGACACCTGTGCAGCTCCACCTCGGTCAAGTAGTAGAATACTAGCAGCCCTTCAGAAGCCATGCCTGCAGCCTCTCCTCACCACTAGCCCATCCTTCTCACTGAAGCAAGCCACCATGATTACAATACAGTAGAATTTTAAATGTTTTATTAAAGAAAAATTCAAATTTAAACAAAAAGTAGAGCTCACTGCTTAATTAATCTTTATATACCCATTACACATGTTCAACAATTACCAACTAATGGCCCATTTAAAAAATTGAGATATAATTCACAATTTTAAAATATATAATTTAGTGGTTTTTAGTATAGTCACAAGGATGTGCAACCATCACCACTATCTAATTCCAGACATTTTCATTAACCTCATCTGCCCCCCTAATAGACCCCCCCCCAAAAAAAGCCCATACTCCCTAATGGCCAATTTTGTTGCATCTATAATTCCATCTACTCTATCCTAGGATTATTTTAAATCCTAGGTATCATATTTCTTTTATAGAAGTTTCAGTATGTATCTCTAAAAGATCAGGACTATTTAAAAAACATACTACATTCTTTAATATCAAACTTTGACAAATACAGAAGGTTGTGTTTGTTTTTTTCTTCAGAAGGGGTTTTAAATATATGTTAATGATAAACTTGCACAAAGGAAAACTAAGATCAGCTAAGAGATGAAAAAATGCATTCTCTGTGGTCTGGCTCAGTGGCTAGAAGTGGTTGCAGATTTGGCTCTGAGTTTCCTAGTAGCCAAAGCAGAGAGAAAACGGTCAGTGAAATGATTCATTGTTTCTATAAAATAAATAGCAAACAAAGTGTTCAGGAGAAGTACTGCTCTTCCTAATGCCAAGGCCTGAGGAAAACGTCTCTCCGGCCTTCCTGTGGGGGACAGGTCCAGGGTCCTGTCATTGCTGCATATTGCTGCATAACAAATGACCCCGACACTTGGTGGCTTAAAACAACACACATTTATTACCTCACAGTGTCTGTGGAGCAGGAATCTTGGGGTGGCTTACCTGGGTCTTCTGGTTCTAAGTCTTTCAAAAGCTGCAGTCACCTTAGGGTTCACCTGGGGAAGGCTCTGCTTTCAGGACCACACTGGGGTTGCTGGCAGGATGCAGGTCCTTGTGGACTATTGGACTGGGGCCTCACTTCCTTGCTGGCAGTCAGCCAGCTCAGAGTTGTTGGCCAAGCCTCCCATGGTTCCCTGCCACGTAGGCTTTTCCATGTAGTCACTCGCAACATGGCGTCTGGCTTCATCAGAGTGAGCACATGAGAAGGCAAGAGAGTGCCAGTGAGACCGAAGCCAGTGTTTTATCACTTCATCTTGGCAGTGACTTTCCCTCCCTAATGCTGGTATTCTGCTCATTAGAAGCAAGTCAGGCCCGAGCCAGTTTGGCTCAGCAGACAGAGCGTCGGCCTGTGGACTGAAGGGTCCCAGGTTTGATTCTGGTCAAGGGCACGTGCCTGGGTTGCAGGCTCGGTCCCCAGTAGGGGGCGTGCAGCAGCCCATCAGTGATTCTCTCCCATCATTGATGTTTCTATCTCTCTCCCTCTCCCTTCCTCTCTGAAAAAAAAACACACAAAAAAACAAAGAAAAAGAAGAAGCAAGTCAGTAGGTCCAGCCCCCACACAGGGCAGGGATTACACATGGGTGCGAATAGGAGGGGACTGGGATTATTAGGGGTCATCTTAGAAGTAGCCCATCACAACCAAGATTCTTTACTGTGGTCTAAGCCTCATCCTGTCAGTGACAACAGTGGTATGTTCCAATGGCTCTGTGCGAGAGCATTTCTCAGTACTTGCCGAGGGCCTCGTGCCAGGGCATGGTGAGGTAAAGCAGCTCTCTGAGAGCCAAGCAGCAGAGGCCCAGCCCCATCCTGACAGCCCCACTTTATCTAGGCCTACGTTTTCTGGGTTGGTAAGCTCCTTTATTCCTTTGGAGTCAACTTAGGGACTGTTATCTTTCAGCTGTTTCCGTTTGAAAGTGAATCTATGAAGATTTGTGGCTCTCACTGAAGCACTTACAATCTATCTTTCCAAAGTTATTTCTCAGTAGAGGCGCCAAGACCAAATCCTGCTGGAAGGCTAAGCTGGCCACATTTCACTCTCCAAACCCCTGACCCTCCCATCTCTCACTCTCAGCAGATCTTGCCTCCTGTTTAATAGAGAAAACAGATGCTATTGGATGAGAATGCCCTCAGTTTCCTGCGATGGCTCACATACACGTGCCTGTGTCTGTACCACCCTAGACCCATTCCTTTTCCAGCGGTGGAGGAGGTGTAGCTCTTCCTGCTGAAGCGGATTTTTCTCTCTCTGCCCTGGATCCCATCGCCTTCCACCTTTTCAGGAGCCATCCTCTATCTGCTGGGCCTTCTTTCCCAAAACTTTACCCTGTCCTTCTCTGCTGGTGCCTCCATCAGTCTTTTCACCTGACTTGTATGTCTTCCATCTTAAAGCCCTAGGTGGCTCCTCCATTTCCTTCCATTCTCCCCATCCCTACCCCTTTACTTTACGGCCTGCTTCTCAGGAGCTACATTGACTTACTATCTGTTTCCTCATTGTCAGTCCATTCCATTTAGTTTACACCCTTAGGAGTTTGCTGAGTGGCTCTTGATAGGGATACCAGTGACATCCATGTTGCTAAGAATAATAATAAAGAATCTAGAGAACATTTCCACTCTGTATCTTTCTTGACCTCTCAGCAGCATTTGACATTGACCGTGACATCTTTGTGAAAACCATTTTTCCTTTTGCCCTATGACTAGACTCTTCTAGTGCTCTCTTAGCTTTCTCGGTGTCCCTTTCTGGTCTCATTTTTAAAAAAAATATATATTTTTATTGACTTCAGAGAGGAAGGGAGAGGGAGAGAGATAGAAACATCAGTGATGAGAGAGAATCATCGATCGGCTGCCTCCTGCATACCCCACACTGGGGATCGAGCCCACAACCGGAGCATGTGCCCTGACCAGGAATTGAACAGTGACTTTTTAGTTCATAGGCCAAAGCTCAACCACTGAGCCATGCTGGCCAGGCCCTTCTTGGTCTCATTTACTGGGTCTCTTCTTGTGCCAGGCCTTTAAATGTTGAAGATCCTCATGGCGTGGATTTTGCTCTTCTTTTCTCCATAGTCCCCCTTTAGAAGATCCTAGCCATACCCATGGCTGCACTTACCATCTGTGCTTACCCATCAGAGTTCCAGACATCACTAAGTAGCACTTAACATTTCCACTTGGTCATCTCTACACACTGCGAGTTCAATACATTCAAGAGTGAACTCATGCTCCTCCCCACGCTCTGGTCCTTCTCCACTGTTACCTAAGTCCACGATGTTTCTTCCCCTGACATTTCCACTTGGTCATCTCTACACACTGTGAGTTCAATACATTCAAGAGTAAACTCATGCTCCTCCCCACGCTCTGGTCCTCTCCACTGTTACCTAAGTCCACGATGTTTCTTCCCCTTTAGAAATTCCACAGCATCCTGCATGATCCGGCCGCCCTCTCCCCACCGGCATCTTGTACTATGTGTCCCCTTTCCCCTGCCCGTTTCCCTGCTTTAGCCACTCTGACCTTGTTTAACCTCCCTGAATGTGCCATGCTCACCTCATTCCCTTTACACATTCCATCTCCCCTACTTGGAATATCCTGTTCTTCTCCCCTCCCCTAGTTACCTCTACTCATCCTTCAGATAGCAGGAGAAAAATGAAGCCTTCCCTGACTGCTCCTCCCCTCAGACTAGGTCGGTCTCCCTGACATTCATTCTCAGAGACCATGTACTTTCCTTCATTGCACTGAGCACAAATTACTTTTATGTTAATTTAGGCTGGCAGCTGCCTCCTCCACTAGACTAAGAGAGGGACCAGGTCTCTTGTTCCTCCTCATTCCTAATACCTAGTTAGATAGGTAGCATATGTTCAATGTTTGGGAAATACTTGTGGGATGAATAAATGAACTGGGACTTATACACTCTGTACACAAGACCAGATTATTTCCAAGTTCTCACTGGTTTGTGTTCCTAACAGTGTGGACCCTTCCTTTGATTTAGGTGAACGTCCCGCGGTGCTTACCCTTCTCAGGAGTGGGCAAGGTGAAGCAGGCTGCATGTGGTGGCACTGGCTGTGCTGTGTTAAATGGTGAGACCCTCTTGCAGAGTCGCTGGGCAGCTCTAGGTGGGTTGCATAGAGAAAGGTCGGTGTCCATTGGACTCACAGGCAGCAGACCTTGGCCTGAGGAAGGGAATGTGGCCGGGGGGAGAGGGGGGCGGGAAGATCTAGTTAGATTGAGTTCAGCTAATAGAGGGTGCGGTGACATTCTTGACAGAAAGATAATAGCCGTGATATATAAGTAGACAGCACAGAGCTTAGTAATTCTGTAGCAGACCTCTGAAATGGAGAGTGAACTTTCTCCCTGTCCCTTAGCCTGGGCCAGAGACTCCAGCTCTGCCTTCTCCAGGGAGGCTGCCAGGAAACAAAGGCAGAGAGGAGAAGAGCCTTAGGGTTTAGATACTGAGATCCATGCCTCTCGGATTAAACATCTGGTACCACTGATGAGTATTAAACTTTTTATAACCAAAAAATCATTTCTAGAGTTTTAGGAATCTGCCCAAAAGTTGTTTAGTTACTTGGCTTGGTCTTTTGATCACTGTGAAACACAGAGCTGTTGGGAGAAACTGTCCTTCGAGGGCTCTCCTGTGTTCACATGGGGTTTCTGGGTGATTTATGGATTGGTCCTGTCCAGGTTACTTTCAGGATGTAGGAAGTTTGTATTCTGAGATTGGTGAGCTGGCTAGACATACTCCACAAACAAGAATTTGAAAGAGGAGAAAAGAAACATGAAATATCTGTCAGCATGTTCTTGCCAAGCAAGGAGGGGAAAAATGCATGTGGATGTATTGCTTCTTGGTGGTGCAGTTTGAATTTCTAGTGAGTGAGGGCTGCTCTTGGTTTGACTTACTGACCGTTGTTTTTCCTGTAATGTAGGAGAAGGACATGTTTTTGTCTGGGGCTATGGAATTCTTGGGAAAGGACCAAACCTAGTGGAAACTGCTCTTCCAGAAATGGTTCCACCCACTCTCTTTGGCTTAACGGAGTTCAACCCAGAAGTCCAGGTTTCCCGCATTCGATGTGGACTCAGCCACTTTGCTGCCCTTACCAGTAAGTGACCAAGCCATGCGGCCCGGAGACTGACAGAGCTTCACTCTCTCAGGTTCAACCTCAGACTGTGGCAGCTCTCCGTTTCCATCCATCCAGCGGTGCGGTACCCTTGTACGGATAATTAAAGAGGGCGGCTAATCCAGAAGTTGTTTGGCCTGGGGTTGTATAATGTGTATCTTTTTTTCATCCTGGAGTTTTGTCTTGGTTCATTTGGTTTGTGGTCAGGCTAATGTGAAAGTGAGTTTTCTCAAGAGAATGCCAGTTGGTGGTAGGAGAGGGGACCCGTGAGTGTGTTGGGGTTTGGGGAAAAACCAGCAGAGGTTTGGCAAATCCATGGTAGATAATTAGGAAATGAATGTGTGGGGCTTAATCCCACTGCCTGACGAAGCCCAAACCCCAATCTGACCCAGGAACGTGGGATGGCAAGGGGCAGACGTGTAAGACTGTCCGTGGTTTTGTGGAAGTAAATCTGCCCAATTTCTCCAAAGTGCTGGGGGAGAGAATGATCAAAGAGAAGGCTGAAATGGAGATTTTTGCAAAGGTTTGCCAAATGACACAGCCATAACATATCCAGTTACTCTGCAGACCTCTAGAATGTGTGCTTTTCTTGATTACATCTCCTGTTCCACCACAGTGACTGTTGGTTCAATTTGTTCCTCTTTAGTTGACTTGAATCATCAGACTGTATTAATTTAATTTCATTTTGTGATTCTCAAGCAAATTCACTATTTCCTTGTCTCATGGTAAGTAATTGTTTTCTTTTAAACATCTGGCTGGGACAGTCAGTTCGGGTCATTCTTGTTTGTGTGCTCTGGCCCCATGCTATGTGAGGACTGCTCCAGATGATCACCATTCAGGATTGTCTGAGCACCAGGCTTCGGGGCTGCAGTGCGGACCATTGTGCTGGTGGTCGGAGTCTTGCCTGACTGTGTGCATTAAAGCGCCAGGTGGTAGCAGCGCTGATGGGTGGAGGATCGCTCACTGCCACTCAGGCAGAATCAGCCACTGCCATTTGCAAATGAACCTAATTCCTGGGAGTTTTTAAAAGCTACTTCAACTTAGTAAATAAGAGTCATTGTGGACTAATTCTGGAGGTGTCAGTGATCTGTTTTCCAGACTGTTCCAGGTATGCAAAGCCACATACCTGGAAACCCACATGAAGTGTTCCCCTAGAGTAGACTGTTCCTGTTTGGTGTCATCCGTGTGGCCATTTTGGGTCACACTGAAATGAAATCCCTAGATGGCTTTCCCCAAGTGCCAGTGACTGTCCCTCAGTAGAGAGAACATTAGAGCTTGGGTTTCTCCCCTGACTGTACGCTCAGCGTTTGCAGAGGCCAGCTGGGAGTTGGGATTGGTTGGTTTACCCTGAAGTCTAACAGTTTGGGACCAGACTGAATTGTTCTGTTAAACACGTAAAATCTGAGGCTGGAGGACAAGGGTGTTGGACAGACCAGAGGGGCTCTGACAGCTTGTAACGAAAGGATTCCTTATTTAATCAGCCCAGATTATTTTGGTCCTGGCGTTCCCCTGCCTTTTCTACTTCTGCTTGCCAGATGTGGGGGAGCTAAATAGGGCCGCTGCGTCAAGGAGTGCCCAAAGCTGATGGGGATGGAAGTCAGAACTGAAGGCTGGTTGTGGGAGGCTGCCCTGCCATGTCTGGGTCCTTTCCTGGAGGTTGACATTCCCAGAGCCCCGGTCTAGATGCAGTCCCCTGGGCTATCTCTATAACAGCCTCTCGGTCCTTTTCCTTCTTGGTACTGTTAGTGTGTAAGCATGTATGTATTGGTTTGATCATTTGTTTATTTCTAGCTGTTCAACTTGTCCCATGAGGACAGGAACCAAGCATGTGTAGTCACTGTCCTGTCCCACCTGCTAGCACACAGACCTAGACCTGGCCCATAGAGGTACCCAGTCACCATGTGTCACTCACTTGACATGCGGAAACCCAGACAAGGAATGGCAATCTTCCTACTTTGAGGATGCTCGTATTTCAGGACTTGTGGAGGCAAGGTTTAGTTGGACATAGCTGTGGGTGAGGGGCCACATGGGGTGCGAGCAGAGTGGTCTGTGCAGGAGCCTCCTTGGCCCTCTGCTCCACGCACATTCTCATCTCCCACATGATGGACACTCTAAGTCTGGGCTTGGACATGGTTTTGGTATGGGGCAGTATACTTTCCCTTCAAAAGGAAGCATTACTTGTCTGGTAGAAGTTGAAGTGTAACATTGGGCTCTGTCTGTACCAGGTTCTGGAAAACATGTTCTCATGACCCTTCCTCTTCTTGGAGACTTGGCCTTGGCCTAGTCCCAACCAAGCCACCATTTTCCTTTCTTTGCAGACAAAGGAGAGCTGTTTGTTTGGGGCAAAAACATCCGAGGGTGCCTGGGAATTGGCCGCCTAGAAGACCAGTATTTCCCATGGAGGGTAAGACTGGGTTGGGCGGGCTTGCGGGCAGGCCCACAGGGCAGATGCACCTGATGTGGCAGCAGCGCTCCAGCACCGGGTCCCCAGGACTGCCTCCCCCCTTCCGGGTCCCAGCTGCCCTCCTCCTGCTCTATGGCATCAGGTGAGGCCGCAGAGCCAGCCCAGCACCAACTTCTCTGGCTGTGGGCTCATTGTCCTTTGCTCCTTCCTGTGGCCTGTTGAGTGAGCAGTGGGAGGAATAGCCTGTGTGGGTTCCATCCCTTGGTGCTCTGTTAGAAGCCTCATCGGAGGCTGTCCTTGGGGATGTGGAGCAGGAAACAGAAGCACGCCTCAGAGAGGAGCTAGCTGCAGGCCGGGGGCCGCGAGGCTCCGATGCTGACAGGGAGAGGTTTGAAATGGAGAAGTTGGCATGCCAGGAGCTGTTTGCAGAGGCCTGTGCCGAGGAATGTTTACAGTGAATTTAAAAGAAAGCCGGATGTTTAATATTTAGAATGCCTGACCACAGGCACCAAAGTGAAAAAATAAAGGTTTTTCTTAGGGGGAAGATGCAATTAGACAAAAAGGCTCATTTCAAAATTAAAGGAGAAAAAGTTCTTTCTTCAATTGTAGTTTATCTTAGTGTTGTTTACTAGGTTTTTTAAGTTCTAAAAAAAGCTATTTTTTTGAATACAGAACATATGTCCTTGTTCAAAGTGTATTATGAAAAATCAGTTTCCCATGTCTTATCCCAGAGGCAGCCACCAGAATTGGTGTCTGATGTTCCCTCCAGAGACAGTCTCTGCCTATGGAAGTGCGTGTGTGTATGCGTGCATGCGCGAGCGTGCACATGTCTAAGTATTTAACAAGTTTGATTTTAATAATGTGCTTTGAAATTGTGTAAAATATCTTTTGAAAACACATGTAAAAATGCAAAAGAAATGAAGTAAGGCTTTGTCCAGAACTCACTGCAGGAGGTTTTGAGGCTCTTTGTTATTTTAGGGCAGTGATGGCGAACCTTTTGAGCTCGGTGTATCAGCATTTTGAAAAACCCTAACTTAACTCTGGTGCCGTGTCACATATAGAAATTTTTTGATCTTTGCAACCATAGTAAAACAAAGATTTATATTTTTGATATTTATTTTATATATTTAAATGCCATTTAACAAAGAAAAATCAACCAAAAAAATGAGTTCGCGTGTCACCTCTGACACGCGTGTCATAGGTTCGCCATCACTGTTTTAGGGGCTTGTTTCCACTGGCCCTCCCCTTGGCTGCTGACTCTCCTGGTCCCTGTGAACTTGGCAGGCCCTGACTCCTTTATAAAAACAGTAGGTGCAGTTTCTAAGAGAATAGGTCAAAATAGAGACTTTGAACTTGTTAGAAAAACTGGTTGTGGACCAGAGTTGTCCCTGAGCTGGCTGGCGCTCCCTTGCTTATTCCCTGAGCTAGGAAATGTCATCATGTGTGAGGAATGAAGAGGCAGTTGACGGACAGTGGATGGTACCACAGGTAATGGAAATGCCGATAATGTGATTTAAACATCCTGCTTGCTTTCTTGGTAGTTCCTCACTGCCCTCTCTCGAACCCCACCAAAAGGCCTTTCTGCAGGGGAGCTTAGGAAACAGTAAAGCACCTGGGGTTTGGACGAATGACTGCAGTGACGAGGGGCTCCTCACCTGCCTCCATTTCCTCCAGATTAGAGTCAAGACGTGGGACAGCCATAAACTGAGATTTGAAATCTGATAGCATGTTCCTTATTGAAATTGCTGGGCCAGGCCTCGGGCCCTGCAGTGAAGCTGGAAGGAGCAGGCTGCTGGGGGCTGACACCACTTGCCACTCAGACCAGACCCCCCTTCATTGACTCATCACCCATCAAACCTCCCTTTGGGAATGTTGTTCTCTGCATCTGTACCATCAGCAAAGGGACACTTGGCTGCTTTCTTGCCAAACTGTTGTCCTCCTTCTTGTACATTTGTTGAGCTGTTTGTGGATGGGGGAGGAGAGAGCTTGAAGAATGGTGCTGAGATCTGGTGACCTGGCCTTTCCACTCTGCAAGCTTGAGGTGCAAGGCTGAGGCTTGGGACAAAGGTGGTGGCAGGAACCAGGTTTTGGATCAACCAAGCTGGATTCCTTAAATATTCAATTTGTCTGTTGTTGGGTAGCTGGACCTTCTGTCTGTTCTGTTGTATTCACTTAAAAAAAATTACAGGAGGTTTTTAAGCTGTAAAGCACTGTATTTTGTTATTAATCTTCAGTGGGGGCTGTGTTACATCATTTAAAAAGGATTCCAAGAAAGAAAAAGGAAGAGTAAAGTCTTATTTATAGCGCCTACAAGGCACTAACTAGTTGTTCTTGGACTCACAGAACCTGGGCTTCTCCCTCAGTTTGTAGGCCCATGTAGTGACATCAGAGCCCCCTGATTTAAACCTCTCCTTCCGAAGCTTTCCAGGATGTTTTCCTGCTGCAGGCGGTGCTGCCCCCTTGCCATGACTCCTCTGGTCAGTACCAGGTTGGGTTTGGGAGCACAGGCTGGGAAACCCTCTGGCCTTCAGGCCTCCTTCTTATATGGCCACCTCAGGAGAGAGGTGCACTGTGGCAGCTGGGCGCCTGGGGCAGTGCTTCCTTGCCGGTCAAGCTCTTTTCCTTTCTCAGCCTGCTCGCTTGTGCCAGGAAGGAAATTTCAGAAGCAGCCAAGTGGGAGCAGCAAGTCTGCTGGGCCCGGCCACTGCCCAGGGGCAGTGCTCTCAGCCTTCCCTGTCTTTCACCTGCTGGGCGCTTGTTTCAGGAACGTGTCCTTGTGGAGAGAGATGTTCCTACACTGAGTTTGCTCAAACCTTTCAGTCACTCAGGCTAACGGTGCTTTTGGTTTTTAGAACTGTTTCCATTTGCAGTAATGTTGTGAGCGTAAATTGGTTTAGAATAGAAGCTCCTTTTAACCTTGACAAGGACAAAAATAAAACATGGCTGAGGGCATTCTTCTTCTAGACTCGGTTCAGAGAGACTGCGAGTGACTGCTTAACGGGGCCCCCACTGCGCCACAGAGAGGGGGGCCTCCGAGGCCAGGCCATAGTCCTGGCGAGTAAACCAAGGCAAGTGGTCTTCTCTGCCGTGGGCACTAATGGCCAGAGCACTTGGGGAACAAGGACAGAGGTGGTAACCGCAGTAGCTGGGCTGCAGGTTAGTGTGGAGAGGGCCACTTCCCCCGCCCACAGTGGTCAATGAAATGTGCTCTAATGGCCCTGGGGGGTTGCTAAGAGTTCGCCTGGGCCTGGTCACCACAGAGGCGGCATGCTTTCCCCTGCGTCCCTGGCCAGCCTGGAATGCTTTCTGCATCTCCGAGCCTTTGCGATGAGCTGGGGCAGGGCTTCTTGTTTGTTTAGTGATTTCTCTAATAGGCTTTGCCAAAGACGTTTGTTTAGGGAGGGAGGGAAGGGGAGCACAACTTGGTTACTAGCGTCCATTTGTTTGTGGCCAGGAGCCCTTAATGGACTTGTCTCTTCATGCCAAAGGCGCCAAGCTGCAGGGTCGGCAATGCTGCCTCTGGGCTTTTAGGCCAGGCCATCTGGAGTAGGCCTCTCCCTCTTAAGCTCAGTAAACTCCACAGGCTGTTACTGGTCCCCTTCCAGCTGTACACTGCCCACCCCGGCAGGATGGCAGGATTCGGATCTGGTCAGAAAAGCAGCATCGCATTGTAGCTGAGGGCTGAGGAGTAAGTGGTACAGGTGCGCTGTCCTAAAACTTGCCATCTAAGAAAACAGTGTACGTGGCATTTGCTTCTCTCTGCACCAAGTAGAAAGTGCCCCTTTTCTGGAGAACTGGGGTGGCCATGTGGGTGTGGAAATCCTTGAGTCGTGGACACACCCATTTCCAAGGCCAGGCTGTGAACAATGAGTCATTTTAAAGGCAAACAGGCAGGCCCTGGCCAGTGTTGCTAAGTGGTTAGAGTGTTGGCCTATGCACTGAAGGTTTGCAGGTTTGATTCCCGGTCAAGGGCTCATACCTGGATTGCAGGTTCCATCTTGCACATGTGGGAGGCAGCCAATTGATGTGTCTCTCTCACATCAATGTTTCCCTCTTTCTCTCTCTCTCTCTCCCCCTCCCTCCCTTCTACTCTCTCTCTCTAAAAAAAAATATCCTTGGGTGAGGATTAACCTAAATAAATAAATAAATAAAGGCAAACAGAGGCCTCCACATCCCAGGAGGCTGCTGTTACCTTGAGAGTCGGGCCTTCCTGTGCTGAGTGTTGTCAGCGTGGATGGGCAGTGTCGGCAGGACTGCTGGCCAGGCCTTGGGCGCCTTCTGAGACACAGTCAGCGTCCCTCCTTGAGGGTGACAGGACTCACGTGCCCGTGTCTGGAGCTGGAGCTGGGGGCAAAGTGGGTAAAGACCCGGGGCCTGGGGCCTAGTTCCCAAAGTGGACCTGAGAGCAGGAGAAAGGGTTTTTCCAGCCGCTCTAAGTGAGCCACGGTGGTGACACTAGGAAAGGCTACTCAACACCTGGCCGGAGAACAGGGTTGCCCTCTGGCGGGGTCACACTCACAGGGGACTAACCTCTGTGGGATGTCACTTAGGGTTCGTGCTTGTGCCCACAGTGGCCTCTTGGGGGCTGGACAGTAACGCCCCCTGCTGACCAGGTGGGGAGTTCAGATGGCCTTTCCATGGTGATTGCGTTTGCTCGGCCCAGCAGACCTGCTAGGTAGGTTGTAAGTGTCCCCATTTATCACCAAGAGGAGGGAGCCAAGGCTCAGAGAGGCTAAGTCACCAACCAAGATGCAGGGCCCGGATCAGGCCCAGCTGGGGCCACCTCCAAGCCTGTCTGTCCCCCAGTTGGCCATTTCCCTTCACTGTGTGCTGGCTCTTGTTTTTCAGGTGACGATGCCTGGGGAGCCCGTGGATGTGGCCTGTGGTGTGGATCACATGGTGACTCTGGCCAAGTCATTCATCTAAATCTCCTGCTGACCCAGGTGAGCCTGCCCTGGCCTCAGACCCACTTGGATTGCTCAGCAGAGGCAGCCCGCGGGGTTCTGATGGGGCTCAGAGAGGACGAGAGCCCTCCATGAAGTGTGACACTCTCTCCTAAAGCCCTTAGGAGGTGCAACCTGAAGTCCGGAGACGTGGTCCCTGCTCCGGTGAGACCTGCCAGTGCAGCACCTCACATCTGCCTTTATCGGGTTGGTCCGCAGGAAGATGGGCCCCAGGCCCTGCGGCCCCAGCGTGGTGAGGATCATTAGAATGTCTCGGCTCTTTCCTGGGAGCACGGGATGGCCTCTGGTGTCACGTCTGGCCCGAGAAACTGGTCTTCACAAATATTTGCTCATGATATGCATTTTGTTTGATCTTGAAAGGAGCCTGACAGAGTGCAGTGCTCAGGAGGCTTCTGCAGCCCCTGGAGCACAGCAGAGTTAGGGTGAGCGTGTGTGGGCACGGGGCAGCCCAGCCTGACTGAGGGAGCCGGCTGGCTTCGGCCTGGGGTTTTCATTTAGGTCTCCCCTCCCAAAGTGGACCCTGAAAGCCAGCTTGCTGGTGGGACATGCCGAAATCCTTTGCTTGGATTGGGGTTCTCCCTGAAAATATAGTGGGCGCCAGCTCGGCACCCCATGGGCTCATGGCTGTCATCAGCCTCGTAACCATTCTCACTGCCTGGCTGGGAGAAGTGGAGAAGCCCCCGCGGGAAGAAGATCGAGGCCAGATTCTTGTGGCTGAGGGCTCCGAACACATCCGCAAAAGCTTGGCTGCAGTGCCAGTCCTGGAGAAGAGATCCAGAAATTGTGGAAAACAAAGAGTAATGTAACTTGTCTTATTCTTTAAAAAAATATTTTAAAAACCTCTTTTGGAATAAAGTCTATTTTCTGCATTTTTATTCTTAAGAGCTGGAGAGGTCTTTTTATTTTACTTGCTCATTTATAGAGATTAGCTTTCAAAAACAAGGCATTTGATAAAGAGGCTACTAGATGCCAGTGAAAAATACGGTAGAAGACAGTCCTGTTTGAAAACTATTTTCTAAACAGTCTACTCCCACAGTTCAATTGGAAGAAAATAATGAAGTATAAAAATAACTGATAATCCAGTTAAGTTATTGGTTATAGATAACTTGAATGACTTGGATATTTCAGCCTTTAGGTCAAAAGATTGGCTAGGACTAGATTTAGGAGTAGATGTCACAGGACAAGATCCCCTAGGCCAGCGGTCGCCAACTGGTGGTCTGTGAGGTCCGAAAGGTTGGCGACTATTGCCCTAGGCCAGTGGTCGGCAAACCACGGCTCGTGAGCCACATGCGGCTCTTTGGCCCCTTGAGTGTGGCTCTTCCACAAAATACCACGTGCGGGCGTGCACGTACAGTGCGATTGAAACTTCGTGGCCCATGAGCAGAAGTCGGTTTTCGGCCTGGGCGAGTCTATTTTGAAGAAGTGGCGTTAGAAGAAGTGGGGGGGTGGACATATAAAGAGGATGAATGAAAGGAGATAGACGAAACAAGTATACAAGTTGACTGTGGATGGGAGAGTTGGAAGGGGTCGACCTCAGCAAACGTACCTCAATCAGATTGAGGACGTTTTTAGCAAAGGCCAGCTTAGGAGTACCCTAATTAAGTTAACAATGTACCTACCTATATAGTTTAAGTTTAAAAAATTTGGCTCTCAAAAGTAATTTCAATCGTTGTACTGTTGATATTTGGCTCTGTTGACTAATGAGTTTGCCAACCACTGCCCTAGGCCACTGCTGCCACAGTGCATATAGAAGTAGGATGTAAGGGAACGAATGCCTGGGTGGGATGGATTAAACATTCTGTACACGCCCTAAATAAAAGTGACTTAACGTTTGCGTGGCAGGAAGGCCAGAAACCCAAGTGGTCCCATTTCCATCCGGATGGACCTCAGACAGTAATGGGATGGAATATGTGCTTGCCCTGTATCAGGAGGAAACCGCCTGGGGAAACGCTTCCTGCAAGATTCTTGCCCTGTTGTTCCCATCCAACCGAGGTAAAGAGCAAGGACCCCCAAAAACTATCCGGCCCCTGTCCTCCAACGTAAACTATACCTCCTACCTCTCAAGGGTGGGGAACAGAAAAACCCACCTGGTAATCATGTCACAGACTGAGCTCTCACTGTTGCCTTGTGTCCCTTGTGTGCCAGGCACTGTTTATCACACTGAGTCATGGTAACAAGAGTTTCTGTAAGCAGGTCTCATGAAACTCACATTTTAGGGGGCAAAGTGGACAGTAAACAAGCAGAATGCAAAGTACGTTAGATGGTTGTGTGGGCTGTGGCAAAAAACAAAGCACAAGGAGACGGTGATGTCAAGACAATTGCAGCTTAAAGTGGAATTGTCACTGAGCAGATTGCTGTGACCTGAGGCAGCAAGAAGCAGCCATGTAGTGTCTGGGGGAGTGGCCCCAGGACCCCTTACCTGGGCTCACTTCTTTGTGGGGTCCAGTTCTTATGTTATTACAGCAAGGCTTTTCCATAAACTTGAAATAAAATTGAAAACGATTTGTCATTTTCCTTCCTGAAGCTCCTGGCTGGGCTGAGTACCACATGCCCCAGTGGTGAAGAACGGTCCCAGCATCTGAGGGGGTCCGGCCTCTCCTGACCAGCAAGGGAGCCGCTCAGACCGTTCTGAGGGACCTCCTGGTTCATAGGTTGACACTCAGCCACTGACCCCAGTCCCCACCCACCTCCCCCACAAGAGAAGCAGCATGGTTTAACCATGCAGTCTGCTGGGGGACACACCCTTTCAGATGGTCTTGGGGGTAGCACCCAGCACTGGTCCCCGCGAGGCAGCCATCACCCCAGGACCTGTCCTGCCCTGCGATGGGACCCCAGGGGCTTACCCCTTCCCCAAACCCTTTCTCTCTCGAGGCAGCCATCACCCCAGGACCTGCCCTGCCCTGCCCTGCGATGGTACCCCAGGGGCTTACCCCTTCCCCAAACCCTTTCTCTCTCCCATGTGCACTCCCCAGCTGCCCTCTGACTCAGGTTGTCCCAATTAAGGAATCAACCAATGAATGCATAAATAAGTGGAACAAATTGATGTTTCTCTCCCTCTCTCTCAAATCAATGAATAAATTAGAAATCCCAGTCCTACTTGGTTTGGTTCAGTGGCTGGAGCCCAAGGACTGAAGGGTCCTGGGTTTGATTCCGGTTAAGGGCATGTACCTCAGTTGCAGGCTCAATCCCCAGGCCAGGTTGGGGTGTGTGAGGGAGGCAACCAATCAATGTGTCTCTCACATCGATATTTCTCTCTCTGTCTCTCCCCCTCCCACTCTAAAAATCAATGGAGCCTGGCCGGTGTGGCTCTGGTTGAGCATCAACCCACAAACCAGGAGGTCACACACAGTTTGATTCCTATTCAGGGCACGTGCCTGTGCTGTGGGCTCAATCTTAGTAGGGGGTGTGCAGGACGCAGCCAATCAATGATTCTCATCATTGATGTTTCTGTCTCTCTCCCCTTCCTCTCTGAAATCAATTAAAAATATATTAAAAAAATAAAAATCAATGGAAAAATATTCTTAGGTATTAAAAAATCCCAGGCCTGTATGTAGTTCAGTGGTTGGCCTGTGCACCAAAGGGTCATGGGTTTGATTACCAGTTAAGGGCACTTATCTGGGTTGCAGGTTTGATCCCTGGCCCAGTCGGGGTACGTGCAAAAGGCAACCAATCTCTTTCTCCCCTTCTACTCCCCGCTTCTACTCTAAAAATCAATGGAAGGAAAAAAATCAATGGAGCTGGGGACCCAGATGAATCTGATGTCCGGACCTGAGCTGCACAGTAGCCAGAGCTTCCTTGGGCTCAGGGCGGGTGCACGGGTGCTCCAGCCCCATCTCCACTCCCATCTCTAGTGCTGCTTCTCCTGTGGGGGAGGTTGGTGGGGACTGGGGTTAGTGGGCTGAGGGCCTGGCAGCGTGGCTCAGTGGTTGAGTGTCAACCTATGAATGAGAAGGTCACGGTTTGATTCCTGGTCAGGCTTTGCGCGGGTTGCGGACTCAAACCCCAATGCGGGGCGTGGAGGAGACAGTCGATCAATGATTCTTTCTCATTGATGTTTCTCTCTCTCTCTCTTCCTCTCCTTTCCTTTCTGAAATCAATAAAAAATATTCTAAAAAATATATCCTCAGGTGAGGATTAACAACAACAAAAAAATCCCGGCCTTTCACACAAACGTTGCTGTTGAACATGGAGCAGCAGCAGCTGAGGTTACACTTGATCCGGAGACAATGTCTGGAGTACTAGCTGTGCTATTCTCAGATTTTGGGCCACACGGAGGTGCATGCTCAGCAGTCAATTTTAAAAGGATAAATCCAGACTGTTGTCACCTCCTCACACCAGGAGTTGTGTTGCTAGGGAGGCCAGCAGGTGGGCTGTAGCTGGTGGTGGGGAGGCTGCCCCTGGGGGAGCAGAAACGTCTTGCTATTCCTCTGGTAGCATTAATGCAGCTGAGATGCCAGGAGACCAGGGAACACAAGGCCATGACCATCAGACAATGCCCGGTTGGAGTCCACCTTGGAGCTGGAAACAAGTTCAGGTTCATGGCTTTAGGATGTCCCACAGCTGCAGCTGTTGGCCCTCATTCCAGCGAGAGAATATTTTGGGTGATGCAGAGGCTTGAGGGGAATGTATCTGTACTCCAGGCCCTGCCAGTGCTGGGACGCGGTGGTGAGGTGTCTGTTCCAGCTTGTGCATCGGGGGCCTGGCTGCCTCTGGTCGGCCTCCAAGTGAGACCACCTGCCCACAGAGCTGCCCAGGAGGGGGAGTTCATGACAGAGCCATTGGGCAGACTGTACCCTTAACCCCAGCTTCTCAACCCTGGCTGGACCATGGGGTCATTGGGGGAGGTTCTTTTTTTCTTTCTTTTTGATATACCACATTGGTTACTCATTCATCAGTTGATGAATATGTCGGTTGATTCCACTATTGTGAATAGTGCCAAAACATTCATGTGTCAGTTTTATATTGGCCCAGCTTTGTATTTTTTTGAACATTCCCACACAAGCATTTGTGTGAATGTTTTCAATTTTCTTAGGTATATGCCTACGAGTGGAATTGTTGAGGCATTCAATTAATTTTTAACTCTGACACTTGGATTATGTAAACCAGCGGTTCTCAACCTGTGGGTCGCGACCCCTTTGGGGGTCAAACGACCCCTTCACAGGGGTCGCCTAAGACCATTGGAAAACACATATATAATTACATATTGTTTTTGTGGTTAATCACTATGCTTTAATTATGTTCAATTTGTAACAATGAAAATATATCCTGCATATCAGATATTTACATGACGATTCATAACAGTAGCAAAATTACAGTTATGAAGTAGCAACGAAAATAATTTTATGGTTGGGGGTCACCACAACGTGAGGAACTGTATTAAAGGGTCGTGGCATTAGGAAGGTTGAGAACCACTGATGTAAACCCTAACACACCGTTATCTTGAGTTCCAAGACACTGAACATTTCTTTTCCTGAATCCAGTGTGGCTGTTCCCCACCGGCCGGCTAGGGGCTCTGCTGCTTCTACAGGCCTCTTCCCATCAGGACCCTCTCTGCGCCCGCCCGGGCTCCCCAGTGTGGAGACATGGGCTGCAGGTCTAGCTGACAGCTTCTGCTGGTTCAGCTCAGGTGCAGCTCTTGGAAACATCGCAAAGGAGGTGCTCCACTACCACGCTTTGCAAGGTAAGGACCTCCCTCCGTGTTCTTCCCTTCATCTCACTCCCCCTCCTTCCTTTAACTGCAGAGAGTGGTCAAGCAGCACACATTTCTTTCTTGGCCATCCTTCATGCTGTGCATCCACACCTGTTGTATTTTCTACCACATTCCCTTTTTCAAAAAACTGCGATGTAAGTAGCAGAACATAAACCATTTTATGTTTCTGGTCTGCAGATACCCCTCTGGAGCCATGACATCCACGGGGACTCTTCATTGCCCCCATACTCTCCAACCAGCTGCAAAGGCCTCCCTTCCCACCCCTTACTCACATTCACGGTCACCCAGGCAGTGCAAGACCCGGGCCCGGAGCTGGGGACCCAGGTGAATCTGTGATGTCAGGGCCTGAGCTCCACAGTAGCCAGAGCTTCAGGGGGGTGCACGGGTGCTCCAGCCCCATCTCCACTCCCATTTCCAGTGCTGCTGCTCCTGTGGGGGAGGTGGGTGGGGATTGGGGTCAGTGGGCCGAGGGCAGGCAGAGTCCTGCCCTCCATGGAAAATATCAGAGAGGTCAGGGTAAAGGGTGTCCAAGTCCCAGGACCTGCTGGTCTCAGGCCTCCTGCCAACAGGGCAAGAGCCAAAAATCAGTGCCCCTGTGGGAGGGGGGAATCTGATCCTCCCATCCCCAGCAGGTCCCTTCCTGCCTGACCCCCAGGCCCACCTCTGGCAGAGGCTTGGGGACGAATGTGGGTGTTGCAGCCAGTCTCCAAGATGGCCCATGATCTGGGCCTCTTGGTTTTCACATCTTTGTGTGGTCTCCTCCTGTGTCAAATCAGCGGGGTGAGGAGGGTGGTGATGGTACGTGGATTCTGAGCCTAGGGGAGAAAACATTGGCCTTGGCCCTTGAATCCTGTGCTCCGAGGGAAGCCAGGCACCATACTGGGAGGACACTGGGGCAGTCCTATGGGGAGACGCGTGGAGAGGATCGGAGGCCTCCTGCCAACCCAGCCCTGAGAATGAACCGCCGTGGAAGGGATCCTCCATCCCAGCCAAACCTTCAGACTGCAGCCTCGTGAGGGGCTGAGCCAGAACGGCCCAAACGCTCCCGAATTCCCCACCCACAGAAGCCGTGGCATATAAACCATTTCAGCCATTAAGTTTGGGGCAACTTACTCTGCAGCACCCGGTAACGAATACCCCCCTCTCACTCTGGGGCTGGTTCCTCTCTGATTCTGGTGTTGGGCTGGAAGGCTTTCCTGCTTCCCCCCAGCCCCTGGCCTGTGCTCCCCAGACCACAGTATGGAGAACGGGGAGATGAGTGGTGGCCCTGGGTCCGAATAAAGTCAGACAGCTGTCAGCCGAGATCACTGTTTTCTCCATTTTAATTAACACTTTACAAAGTACAAAATATACTGTCTTTTTTGGGGAACATAGGTATGTTTTTCTCTCCGTCATACAGTACATGAATCTCGAGGGTTCTTTTTTCTTCAACAAAGTAAGCGTGAGGGGCCTTGGTGTAGGGCTGCCCACTTCTCCCCTCACCCAGGGCCGGGCCCAGGTCCAGATGCCAGTGAGGGCTCGGTTCCCCAAGATGAGGCCTGGGCAGGCGGAGGCCCCTCAGAGCCCGTGCACCCAGCATCCACTCACCCCCATCTCAGGATAACGGAAATGGTTTTGGCATAGAGTAAGAAGAGGGCTTGTCCACTGCCCCCACCCCAGTTTTGGAGCCAACCCTGCTCAGTTCTTCCAGGACCATTTTCTGAATATAAATAGGTAAACCGAGGCAATGGACAGAAAACGCAATGAGCTTGGTCTCTGAATTTGGCCTGTTTTTCATCTTTCTGCTCCCCTGAGCCCTGGTCTCCAGCGTTGCTGGATGCCCTTCCCGGAGGAGCCCAGCAGGTGAGGGCCTGGCACCCACCGCTCTCCCTGGGAGACCTCAGGACTCGATGCTTCTGAGGCGGCGGCTTGGCAGGCCCAGGCTTTCAGGCCGGCTGTGCGGACAGAGTCCCTGCAGGGGACACCTCTGCTCCGACCACAGGGCAGTGCTAACAAAACCAAGAGGCCTGGGCAGCCCTTCCAGGTCTGCCTCCACCCCCTCCACACGTGGCCACAGGTGAGAATGCTACCAAGGCCGCAAAACACGGAGTGAGGCAGTCCCTTAGCTCAGATTCGGACTCTGCACACATGTGCTCTTACACACACTAATGTGTCTGACACAGCACACACACACATCATGTGTAAGTGCAAACATATGTGGCCGTGCACAGACCAGTGTCCTGACTCTCACAGCCTCCCATCCCCTTGAACCGAGAGCCACACACTCCCTCACCGCCAGGCTGCCCACGGGCGCCACGGGCCAGGCCAGCCCTGGTGCCATGAGCCCCAAGGACAAGCAGCTACCTTAGCCAACAGCCCCGTCTTCACCTTCCCAATTCAGCAGGCTTCACAGGAGGGTGCGAATGTGAAGGCTGAAGGCCAAAGCCCACCCTTCTTCCCTCCACAATCTAGGCAAACGGTATGACAGACAAGTAAGGGTGTCCTTTGGCTGCCTCTAAGTTGAAAATAAAAAACAAAACTAACCAAACCTGGGATAAGCTCTGAGATCCAGCTATACCAGGGCTCAACTCTCCTGGAGACAACCCTGGGCCACTCCTCCCAAGCCGGCCTTCCGTTGGCGTCTGGGTTGGCTCCCCTCCCAGGCGGCCTCTGAACGGAGGGCTCCTGCCTGAGCTTGCTGTAGGCCTAGCCCCTTCCTTAGCACGGCAGCTGGGATGCCTGAACAGCCAGTCTTCCCATCCTCCTCAACCTGACCACCAACTCCATCGCTCCCCAGCCCTGACTTACAGCAGCAGATACACTGGGGGTGTTTTCTTCCCACCCCCCACCCAGTGTTCACTCAGGAAGTGGCCTCAACAACTTCTCAGGGCTGGCGTGCTCTGCTGTCAACAGGGAGATAGAGCCCCAATGTCCCCTCTCTTAGCGGGGGCTGTGAAGGGCCCTCGTCCCACATCCGGACCCGGAGGCTCAGAAAGGTGGCCCAGGTGGCCGCGGGGAAATGTGACCAGGAGAGACCGGTGGTGGGTGGGCAGGCTTATTATCGATTATCAGGCAAATGGTATCCTTGGCTTGACACGGGCCTGGCCCCTCCCAGCTCTGACTTCCATGGCATTCTGTCATCTCAGAGGGTGAAGCCCCATCAGACTACACTGGTCCCCGAGGCCGTGCTGCCTGCTGGGGGAGCCTGGGGCCTGGAGGGAGTGGGAGGGGGAGAATGCTGGTGCTGGGGGCTCTCGACCCCTTGAATGTTGGGGAGGGGAGGTCTGTATGCCTCTCCAGCTTGGGTGTGGACCCTGAGCTGAGGGCAGTGGCCTGGGTGGCACCTCTTGCAGGGCTCTGGAGATGCCCGGGGAGGAAGAAGGTGCAGAGCTGGCACTGCCCGACTTTGCTGGGTCAGGACTGGGGGCTGGGGGGCAGGAGTTTCCCAGGAACCAGGGGAGCCGGGCTGAGGATGGAGCAGAGGCAGGCTTTCACAACTGTGGACGAGGGAGAAGGGGTGGTCATGTGCCCCTCCCGCCCTCTCCTCACTGTAGTGTATGGTGGGGGTGGGGTGGGCAAGGGGCGAGGGTGGCATTTAGACAGTTTGAGCTTTTCTTTCCAGGGAGTGGCACCGCAGCAAAGACACAGGGCCTGCCTACTCCCCCCGAACCCAGCTTCCCTCCCCTGTTGCATGCCCACCAGCCAGAGCCAAGAAACCCTTGGGGTCACCTCTATGGCAGGTCTGGGCACATGCTCCCTCACAGGAGAGCCTGGGAGGGGGTGAGCAGCTGGCCACTGGGGAAAAAATGCTCACTCCCACATCCCAATGCTGTGGACACCAGACCACAGACCCTGCTCATCACAGGCACGCACAGACCCGAGGACTCGCCTGCCCGGCCTCCGTGGCCTCTTCACACAGCAGGATCGGGACTGGGAAATAAAGGGCGGGTTTCCGGGTGGAAGGCGCCCCATCCCCTCCCTGGACACACATCCAGGGCACACACAGGGCCAGCCCCAGAGGAGACCTGGGAAAGAACCCGAGGCTTCTAAGCTGCAGGTGGAATCAACCAGGTGAGCCGTCAGCATGAACGGAGCCATGCGAGGGGGTCAGGCCTGGGCGGAGACTCGGGGTGACCACCCAGCAGGCGGGGAGAGCTGAGAAGGGGCCTGTTCTGTTCCACGCCTCCTCTCTGGGCTCTACCATCTTGAAATACAAGGATGTCAAGGGTCTTGGCCATGGAGATGGGAGTTCAGGAAGGGGTTGAACCCAGCTTTCAAGAAAGAAGGGGGAGAAACCCTCGATGCCCCCTCTGGGGCTCAGCCCCTGGGCTGCTGGTTTTGTTTTTCTGTCAAGTCAGGGCTGAGGCAGCAGCCGGCTTCTTGCAAAGTCGTATTGCCTATATACTTGAATTAAAAATACACGGTGGCTCAAACGTGCCTGTGTGCACGGCAGACACGGCAGACGGAGGCCCTCACGCACACACACATACACACATACACACACGCACATACACAGTGGGGTCTGCGTCCACGTACCGCACACACACACATGTGCGTGCCCACAGTATATATTAACATATATATTGCTCAAGTATATATGCTATTTACAGTATATATCTATATCAACATAAAACACAGGTATTTATACGTGTGTACAATAGATACGCCCTAGGGGCCTGGGGAGCACGCATTTCTGGGGTCACGGGGCCTACACACTTGCTCGGGAAGGAGGAAAGGTCAAGCGACGTGATTAGGGGGACAGACAGGAAGGGGCCGGGAGAGGTGCGCCTCAGAAAACCAAGGCCTTCCAACGACAGAGAGGGGACTCGGGGCTTCAAGTGCCGCCCTAGCCACTTGGCCACCCCCATTTTGGAACCAGCAAGCAATTTACACGTTTTGGTTGTTATGGAGTTTTGTGCAAAATGAATTAACTTAAGGAAAAAAGGTGGGTTCCTACTCAGTGCATGAGCCCCCGAGATCTGCCAGGATCCAGCTGCACAGCTACTGCACTGGGGCCTCCAGGGCACGAAGGGTCCCACAGAGCTCAGAGAAAGGGGTGGGGCTCACGCAGCCCCCCACCAGACCAAGAGACTGGCCCCCCTCCTCCGAGCTCCTCAGGGACAGCGCGAGTCAGCTGATGCCCGAGGAGGAGCACCAGCAGGGCAGGGGCCACGGTGGGCCCTTCGCACGCAGAAAGCACCCCCAGGAGAGAGGAGGCCGGGGCTCACCCCGTTCAGCCTGGGAAGCCTCCAGGGGACAGACCTGCCTCAGCTGCCTGCTGCCTGGCTGTCACCTCCCTGTGGCCCTCGGGTCCCGACACTCACGACCACAGCTGCCTGGGTACCTGTCACTGGGCCCAGCGGGGCAGCCCGGCGGGGCGCCTGGGGGCCCGTCTAGTAACAGACCTCTGCTCCCAGGGTCCTGCTCCAGGGAGGGCCAGGGCCCAGTGCTCACGCCTGTCCCTGGAGCCACGGGGCACCAGCTAAGTGACGCTGGGCCTCTGGTCCCCAGGCAACTCAGCAGGCCCTGTCTCTAGAAAAGGCTGCCAACCTCAGCCTGGGCACAAATACATTAAATACGAAACTAAAACAAAGTACGGTTTTCTCTATTAAGGCTCAGTTAAGCTGCCTCCCAGATCAAGTACTCATGAGTGCCAGTCCCAGAACCGAGGGGCGGGCAGGCAGGTGAGTTAGGCAGAGGCCTTCTATGTCCCCCAAAGCGAGGCAAGGGAGACAGGACGACAAGGGAGCCTGTGCTGGTCTAGTCAACTGTTGGGGAGGAGGGGGTGACCTAAGAAACCCCAGGCCCAGAATGCTGGGAAGCCGAGGCTCCGCCTCCTGAGTAGGGTCCAGGGAAAGCGGAGGGTCCAGGAGCTCACGCCCTAGGCTGGTGTGTCTGCCAGGCACCACCTCCCAGGAGTGAGTGCTTGTGGTGGGGAGGGTCTGGACAGGGTCCCCTTGGCAGTCTTGCTGGGAGTCGGGGCACAAGCCCTGTGATTGGCAGGTGAGGTTCTGGGTGGCGCGGGTCTTCCCCAGCTCGGGGGGGCCCCCCCCGCCCCCCAGCTCTGCCGGAGCCTCACCAGCATGTGTCGTGAGGGCTGTCCACTGGCCTCCACTCCGGGAACCAGCCCTGAGCTGATGGAACCAGAGACCAGCAACCACAGTATCCAGCTTGCCCCCTCATCGGGCCTCCCCAGGCTCCATGAACTCAGTCCTGCTCAGCCTGCTCCCCAAGGTAACATGCGAATTGGTACCCCAGTGTCTTGTAGGAGGTGCCAGCTTACGTCAGTGTCTGCCCCTGGCTGTGGGCGAGGCCGGGTGAGGAGGCGGGTCAGCTCATCAGCTCCCTGGGCCTCAGACATCATTTTCTGGAGTGGGGGTGGGGGGAGCACGGGGGGTTCTCTGGAGGCTCTGGGAAGGGAGGACATGGGGAGGCCCTGGCCTGGGCCCCAGGCCTGGCGAAGTCAGCAATTGGGGGTGCCTCTGAGGCCCCTTCTTTGGGGGACCTGGGGCCGATTTTCCAGTCTGTTGAGAAATACTGCAAGAAGAATCTTCGGGCAGGGCGGACGGAGGAGTGAGACCCTTCTAATGCTTCTCTGCTTGGCTGACCTTCAGGGCGCTGATGACGCCGATAATGTTTTCTTCTGGTACCTGAAAGGGCAGGAGGCAGCCAACACGTGAGCCCCTGGAGCCAGCTCCCCTGCCCCGGGCCAGTGCAGGACACTCACCAGTGCGTGGTCGAACTTGAAAGTACTGATGTAGTAGGCGGGGATGTCCGCAGCGGCCAAGGGCTCGGAGATCTGGGCCACGATGCCACACTCATCTGGGGACAGAGGGGGGACTGGCTCAGCCTCCACGTGGTGGCATCATCACCCGGGGTGCCAGCCAGTACTCCCTCTGCCCTGTCCCTCCCTCTGCCAGCGGTGCCTGTCCCACACCCACCATCTTCCCGGGGAATTCCCCCCACACCCGAAGGCTCAGTGCAAAGGCCCCTCCACCAGGAGCCTTCTCGATGCCCCCGCCAGCAATGAGCTCTCCACTCAGTTCTGACTGACTGGCCACCCTCTGCCTGTTCCATGCTCTGTAGCCACAACGCATCTTCCCTGCCAGCCTTCGAGGTCTCTAAGGCGGGCCTGGAGGCAGTGTGGGCTCGAACACATGGGCCAGGCCCCCTTTCTAGTCAGATAACTGTGGCCAAGTCACTTCCTCTCTGAGCCCATGTCCTCAGTGGAGTCCCACTGGCAGTGTCAGGCATTTGGTGGGGCTGGGACGTGACTTCCTACTCACTCTAGCATCTGAAGTGGAAGTCTGTGCTGCTTTTCTCGCCTACCCCAAACCTTATCTGATAAAGCAACCTTGGGGTTGCCTGGGGCTGGTCTTATCCTCATTGGCAGCTTCCTCCCTAATTTAAAGGCTGCCTCCTACAGGAAGACCTCCAGGATCTGAGGACTATCCCACTCCGACACAATCCTGTGTGTTTCCTAAAAGCTACTGTTATGATTTTGGTGATGATGCATTTCCCCAACACTGTCCCCACAAATGTGGGCGAGGTGCTGGGTGGAGCCCAGGTCTGGTCGCCAGCTCCCATGGGATTCTGAGGCCAAAGCCTAGGAATTACCCCGGGTTCCACCTCCATTGTCACTAAACCCAGCGTCTGATCTGACGCTCCCCTCCCTGGCCCTGGTACTGCTCGTTGGCCCACCCGTGCAGCAACCCTGTAGGTCTTTCAAGTTCCTGCTTCCCCTTGGTCTGCCGGGCTCCTGGCTGGCCCCCAAGCCCCTTTGGTGGCTGTGCAGGCCTCGAACCTACACTCCTGGGGACTGTCTGTGTGCTACACGGTGGAGACTGGCTGTGTCCTGGATACCTTCTCTTCCTATAAAAGGAGGAGGGGAGGAGACCAGGGTCTAGAATGGTGCACTTTAAATCGCAGGCTGTGGCCCACCTGTGACATTAGTTTAGAAGGCTGGTGACCAGGAAAGGCCAAACGGCACAGCACCTGGCTAGGTGAGTGTGGTGTTGTGAGACTGCAGTTTGAGCTGTTTGGGTATGTGTGCGTGCTGGGCTATGATGTAAAATATATTTATTCTAACCACGGCCAAACACATGCAGAACCCGCCGGTCTAGCCCCTGTCACAGTCTAAGTTATTTTTCCTGCAGGACTCTGTAGCTATAAGCATGGCTCTCAACCCGCTACGTCCTGGGAAGGCAGCTGCTGCCTGCTCGGCTCACGCTGGAGTCCTACAACCTCCCTTCCCCGTCGCTATCCACGAGGCCGAGCAAACAACTCCCCTACAGCAATGGGCAGAGGTCTGCCAACCGAGAGACGGTTGTTTCATCTACTATCCCACCCTTATTGCTCCTTCGTTGGCCTCTTGATGTGAGCAGAGTTAGGGGCACTGTCCGTCCATCTGCGAGCTCATGAGAAAGGGGAGGCAGGTGGCAGAACCTGGCTTCCTCAGGGACCCCCTCACCAGGTCCAAATGCCCTGCCAGCTCCATGTCCTGTCCCAGGGGAGAGCCCTCAGGCTGCCCCGCTGCCCCTGGAGCAGTGTGTTATTGGGAGCACTCTGCACCCCGTCTATGAGATCAGGGTCACCACACCACTGGGCTTGCCGAGGGCCTCCCTGCAAACAGCTGCTCTGAGTTACCAAGCCGCTTCTGGGTGCCAGCTCTGGGTCTCACAGTCTAGCCCAGTGGTCGGCAAACCGCGGCTCGCAAGCCACATGCGGCTCTTCGGCCCCTTGAGTGTGGCTCTTCCACAAAATACCAACTTCTGCGCATGGGCCACGAAGTTTCAATTGCACTGTATTTGCGCGCCCGCACATGGTATTTTGTGGAAGAGCCACACTCAAGGGGCCAAAGAGCCGCATGTGGCTTGCGAGCCGCGGTTTACTGACCACGGGTCTAGCCCAAGGAAATCATTTCTAATCACGACCGAGCTCTAGTCCCAGGCACACTGCAGTCACTCCCAGCGGGGCGCAGCCTGCACCCAGTGCTGAAAGGGTGCGGGCCGCGAGGGGTCCGAGGCCTGGGGCCCCGCAGAAAACGCTTATGGGAAAAACACCACAGACACTGCATGGGGGACCGTGGAAGCGCTGCTAGGCTGAGTGTGGGGAATCACGGCGATTTCTCCCGGGGAGCAGGTCGCTGGGTTCTGCAGGAGGAAGTCTCCTTCCCAGGACAGAAAAGGGTAAGTGCTGAGACGTGAGATGATCCTCGAATACTTTCCTCCAGAGGCCTGTCCCTCCCTCCCGCACTGGTCAGGGGGACCTCAGGCTCCCCAAGCTTCCGTCTCCCCATCTGTACCCCAGGGCACAGACAGGCTGTGACTCCAGGTGACGTGAGTGCCCCAGCACTTGGAGGCACTCGGCAAGCCCCCCCGCCCCCACCCGCTGAACCCCACAGGGCTCACCGAATCCCAGGGGCTGGCCTCCGATCCGCACCATCTTCCAGAGCTCTCCGGATGCGCTCGTGAACAGCAAGTTACTAGGAAACCTTCAAGAAGCAAGGAAAGCCCCAGAGGCTGATGTTCAGCTGCTCCCTGGCCAGGGCTCCAACCGCCACAGGATGGGCCCCAGGACCCTGCCGAGCCCTCCACCCATTCTCTCTGCACCCCCTTCGCCTGGGGGTGGGGGGACAGGAAGACAAGGTTGGGACTGGCTGTGCAACAACTGCCCCTCCCCAGCTCCACAGAGGGGACTGAGGGGCAAATGGTACTCGAATGACCCAGGGCCCTCGTCTCTGAGTTGCCTGTCATCTCGGAGACAGGGCCCGCCCACCTGCAATGAAGGGTTGTGGTGAGGAACTGTTAGGGACAGAGTGGGTGATGTGCCCACCACGGAGCCCAGCCCACCCTGGGTGGCCCGGCTCACCTCTGCTGGGTCTGCACGTCCATCACCAGGGAGATGTAACCCTCGATGAGGGAGAAGGAGAAGAAGCGGATGTGGCCACAGTCGTCACTGGCAGCCATGGGGTCCTTCACGCTGGGGGCGGGGGGTGCTGGTGAGGGTGGAGTGGGGGCCCCAATGCACCCCGACCCCTGCCTGTCCTGCACGGTAGCCTCAGCACGGGGTGTTGGGAAGAGCACTGGCCTGGGAGAGCCCCTACCCTGCCTTGCTGAGTAACCCCGAGCCAGTGTCCCCGCAGGTCTCTGTGCAATGCACACAATTCCACGCATTCGTGGAGGTGAGCCCCCGCCGGCCCCCAGGGCAGGCTGCACGGCCCCTTCCCGGCAGGTTCTCTGTCCTTGTGCTGGCCCACACCTCAGGGCACGGTCTGTGGCCACTGCCAGCTCACTGGAACCTGCACCCCCCAACCTGGTGTTGGCCTAAAGGTAAAGCCGACTCTGAGGGAAACGCAAAGCCTGTCGTCCTCGAATGAAAACCCCGAGTTTGAAGCTCAGGGGCAGTGGGGTTTGTTAGCATCTCCCTGTGCACTGGGCTTCACCAAGGTTCAAGGTTCCCAAAGGAGGCCCGGCCGGTGCTGCTCAGTGGGTGAGCACTGACCTACGAACCAGGAGGTCATGGTTCGATTCCCGGTCAGGGCACATGCTCCTGTTGTGAGCTTCATCCCCGGCCAGGAGTGTGCAGGAGGCAGCCGATCAAGGATTCTCTCTAATCTCCCTCTCTCTCTCCCATCTTCTCTGAAATAAAAAAATAAAAAATAAAGATTCCCAAGGAAGAAAGTCTCCCTTCTTAGACTAGGCTTTGGGTAGAGCCATGTCTCCCACCACCGACCCCGGACAAGTGTCCAGGGCAGGTCTGTGTCTTCTCCCTCAAACTAGCTCCCAGGGCAGGTCTGTCTCCTCTGAGACGGGGGCTCCGTGGCACAGCCATGTCCCTCTTGGCCACCCCCTGCAGCCCCTCACACCCAAGGAGACCCTACCCGTTGGAGTAGAACATGACGTCCATAAGGAGTGTGGCAACAGCAGGCAGCGTGTCGGGGTCCAGGCTGGTGACACAGAAGCTGTTGCTGGGGCTGGACAGTGGGTGGATGACGGGCCTCTGGACTGTGAGTGCAAAGACAAAGGTGCCAAGGTGGTTAGAGGAGCAGCGGGGGCAGGTGGGGGCAGGTGGGGTTTGCTGCAGACGCTCTGGGAGGCCTGGCTCCAGGCCCTGTGAGCCCTGGCCTGTCATTTCTTCAGCCTCCACCACCACCTACAGCTCTTCTGCTAGTCCAGGCTCACCCAGGCCCGGGGCCCTTGCACATGGCGTATCTCCTGCCTGGAATGCCCTTGCCAACCTTCACCACCTGGCTGAGCTCCTACTTGTGCTTGAGCTTCAGCTCAACAGTGGCTGCCCCTGGAAGGTCCACCCTGACACCGCGGGCCAGGTTGGGAGTGGCCTCTGGTCACCGCCGGCTGTGCCCGCACCCACCACCCTTACTAGACCTTGGGCACAGGGTCTGACCAGGACGGCTGAACCGTGTTCTGCCTGGAGCTCAACTGATGCTCTGAGAATGGGCTGTTCTGGGGCAGCACCTGGTAACTTTTTTTTTAAATTGAATTTATTAGAGTGACACTGATTAACAAAATTATATAGGTTTTAGGAATACAACTCTGTCATACATCATCTGTATAGCCCATCACGCATTCACCACCCAAAGCCAAGTCTCCTCTGTCACCACTTAGCCCTTTGACTTTCTTCTACCTCCCTCCACCCCCTGGCCCCCTGGCAATCACTGTCCTGTTGTCTATGTCTGTTTTTTTCTTAATCCCTTCACCTTTTCCACCCCAACCCTCCTCCCCTGACTCACCCATCTTGGGCTTCACAAAGCCATTGGTGATGCCAAGGTTCTCGGCGGCCACCGTCTCACCATTGACGACCCGCAGAATAGTGAACTCTGATGACAGGGTGTGGGTGACAAAGGGCAGGTCCCGCTCACGTACCTGGGACAGGGAGTTGAGGACATGAGTGTCCGGTAGTTCCTGAATCGAGTGGGCCTGGAGGTAGCGACCCGCCCTCCCCTCCCCCCCACTCTGAGATGCTGCCCCAGAACCAGCTTCCCCGGTCATTGCCTCTTGCTGCCCTGGTGGGGGGTGGGAGCCTGGGACCAGGGCACACCTCTCCAGGGCAGCAGGAAGGATGCAGAGGGGAGAAGACACGACACCGAGGGCCGGGAGGTGCAAGCCGGTCCCCCCACCCCACCCTCCTGAATGCTGTGCCCAGACCTGTCCCTGCCCCTCCCCAGGCCCATGCTCTTGAGGGTGGCCATGGCCCATGGGAGGAGAAAGAATGACTTGGTGGCCAGGAGCTGCTGCTGGCCCCAGGACCAGACAGACTTGCCATCCCAGGGGGTGGGGGTGGGGAAGAGGGGAGACAGATGTCCAGCTGGGACGATACCCCACCCACACGAGCTCCCCAGACCTCACTTCCTGGCTTCCAGGTCAAACCAAGCATGGCCCCCCAAAAAAGGCAGGTGGAGGGCACAGGAGGGCAGAGACCAGCTTGGGTCATGCTAACATTTGACTGACAACCCTAAGGTCCCCCTGGCCTCTCTCTGAGCTGATCAGAGAATGGGGACCACAGAACTCTGCAGACAATGCCTGTGGGGGATGTCCCTGTCGCCCGAGAGCTGCGGTTACCAGGATGAAGTCCGTCTGGTAGGTGGACAGCATGAACACGGAGATGTTCTGGTCGGCCAGCGGGGCGATGACCGACTTGGCGATCTTGGTCACCCCGATGGGCTGGGAGCTGGAAAAGCTGCCACCACCGGACACGACATTGAGGGCCAGCCAGGTGGCATCTGCCACGCTCAGGTGCTCCGAGGAAGGCAGCTCTGGAGGGGACACAGAAGGCAGGCCTGTGACTGATGGGCCCCAGGTCCCCAGAGCAGAGCAGGCCAGAAGTAGGGACTGACACGTGGGACCAGCTGTGTGACCTTGGCCAGCCCCACCCTCTGTGCCTGAGTGCCCTCATCTGTCAGAGGCGGATGGGATCGGCCTCAAAGGCTCTGCTGTGGGAGGACCGAGCCGGGAAGCCCTCAGAGGACTCTGGATGTGTCAGACGGCTCAGGAGGGTGGGAACTACGGGGACATGTGGTTTATCTGTGTTGGGCCTCAGTTTCCTCAACCGTCAAAGGATGAGTATTCAGCAGTCAGCAATGATTTTGTTATTTTCAGTCCTCACTACCCTCTGGGTGGCAGGTGCTGCCATCACCACCTACACCAGTGGAATGAGTCCCATGGTTTTCAAACTGGGTTCCCAGGAACCTCCCAGGAGGCTGGGGTTGGAGGGGAGCCAGGAGAAGACAGGATGGGGCCTGGGTTTCCTCTTTGCTTCAATCAGACCTGCCTGCTGGGCTTCTCTGGAAGAACGCCCAGCTCCAGGAGGGCTCCTGAGGGTGCTACTGCCAGGTGGGCAGTGACGGTCATCCAGTCCTTCCTGAGAGCCAGCGAGCCCTGGGGGTTGGCACTGGCAGGGGCAGTGTGGGGGAGGCTCAGAGCGACAGCAAAGAGCAAGTCTCCCTGACCAGCTCGTAAAACCTGGGCTCCATACGTTCGGACCGTCCCTTTCCCCCGTCCTGAGAGCCCCCGGAGGAGCCTGCGCCCGGGATGTGGGCACACGTGTCTCCAGGAACACACAGCCACGGAGCTGACCCTACAGGCTGGCACAGGACTCTCCACGTATCACAGGCACCTGCTCAAACCCACCCCCCAGAGGGACTGTTACTCCCCCTGAGAACAGCACAACCGGAGCTCCGAGAGGGCAGTGACTTCATGGTCACTTAGGGAAGGACAGTGCCAGGACCCAACCCAGATCTGACAGCCTCATGCCCTGTCCTGGGCGCCGACCGGGAGGAAGGGTCAGGTCCCCAGGAAGGAGAGGGGCCCAGACACTGGTGAGGAGGATGGCGATAACCAGGGAAGGCTGCATGGGCCTCAGGCAGGATGGTTTCCAAGGAGGGGAAATTGCGTGAGGCCCCACCAGGCTCCTACCTGCCCAGCTCTGGTCGTCATGGCGACCACAGCCCAGCGAGCCCAATGGTCATATCAGCTGAGAAGGGCCAGTCTTTGGCCAGGCTGGCTGGAGAGGCAGGCAGCTTCCCAGAAAAGGGAAAAGGTTTGGGAGGAAGAGCAGGAGAAAATGTTTTAAAAGGCGCTAGGTCTCAGGTAGCCATGTCTGGTCTCTCTACCCGTTACCCAAGGGGTCAGAAGAGAGACTTCTCGGGCCCAGGACCGAGAGCAAACATGCTCCCAGAACCGGAGGCCCAGCTCGGATCTGAAATGCGAATAATCTCGCTCTGGCTCTCAGCCTTGGACAGAAGCCCCGAGGTTCCTCAATGGCAGGCCCGTGGTCACCGCGGAGGCTTCCCGAAGGGGGCGGTTGTCAGAGTGGCTGGAAACCACAGCATTTACTGCTTCCGGCCCCGTGGACACCCAACGCTGCCCTGGCATTCTGGGGGAGAGGGAAGGCTGAGCGGGCCCCCTCCCCACCCTGGCCAAACCTAAGGGCGCCCGAGGTGCTGCTTTGGGGCTGTGGGGACGAGCTGCCAGGAGGCGGCACACTGCCTCTTCCCTGGAGGAAAAGCGGACCCAATCCAAGACGGAAATGGATTATCTGTCACTGCCCATCGTCCCAGACCCTAAATATAGCTTCTTGGAGCTGAGGACGCTCCCTGGTAGAGGAGGTAACAGTGTCTCGCCACCCTCCCGGTCACAAAGTTGGGTGACTCTGTTGCTGGGTGGGGCTCCCTCCTCCCCAGGAGTCCCCCGTTTTGGCCGGAGGACCTGCAGGTCCCTGCACTATGTGGTCGTGTCCTCCACACAGAGCCTGTTTCTCAGGCTCCGCCTGCCCCGCCTGCAGCAGGGTCGAGTCCTGGCGCAGGGCAGGCGGGTTTAGTCCTGGCTGTGTGACCTTGGGCCCTGGGCTTTTGTTTTCAAATATGGGATGATGAAATCGGGAGCGACTGGAGAAGGCGCTGGGAGGATTAAATGAGATAATCCGCCTGGAGCGCTCAGCTGAGTGCCTGGCACCCATCTGAGTGCTCATCAAAGGCCAGAGCCTTTCTGGTCACACTGCTGGCATTTTGCTGGTTCTGGATGGCAGCTGCGTCAAGGGTATCAAGAGTTTAAAAAACGTTCACTTTCACTGTAAAGGAGCACAGCTGACCCTGGAACAGTACGGGTCTGAACTACGTGGGTCCACTCATGTGCCTTGTACGCCACGAGCATGCCTTACAGCACTGGGCGGGAGGGAGGCGATCCTGTTTGGAATGAGGCCATGGAGGCCCCAGGGCCCTGAGCAACTTGCCCAGAATGATCAGGGGCGAATAGCAGGGCTAGATCCGAACCTGATCGTCTCATCTTAGCCCAGGATGAAGCCAGCAGTTACCTCTCAACATCTTCCTCCTCCTACCTTTTGGCTAGTCACGGTCCAAGGAGCATGTTACAGACACCACTGACGCAGGTAAGGGGCCTGTGATGGGCGGGGCCAGTGAAGGGGTCCTGATTAGCACGGCGCCCCGCTTAACTGCAAACCTAAAATGCTGCCCACGACCCAGAGGTCAGGGCAGGGGCTGCTATGCATATTGTTTTGGGTCCTCACGAGCATATAACAATTGCACATAGTAGGTGCTCATTAAACATGTAAAAGATCAAACGACACACATGCACACAGACCCCTCCGGTTTGCCATGCAGATACATAGCATCCATTTGAGCCAAGAGCCTCTGAAATTCCACACGAAACAGGAAGCAGTCTGGTTAATGTCACTGACAACTGTCCCACCCTCCGAGGACAGGCCCCGCATTTGATGCACATGTGAACTGCAGACAGCTGCTGGCTCCTAACAGAGAAAGCTCCGTGCTGACGATATTGCCAGCGAACCACAATCAAGGCACCCTGGCCGAGGGAGGCCCTTGGGTGAGAAGCAATGTTTGCAGAACTGGGAGACGGGGCCCCATCTTTCACACAGCATGGCACAACCGTCACCCCTCCCCGTCCCACGGGGGCAGCCACAGCCCAAATTCCCTTTCCGAAGAAGAGCCTCCTAAGAGAACCACGCCCAGAGCTGAGGCGAGAGGGTGAACTTGGCAGCCTCCACCCCAAATCTTCCCCTCTGGGGGCCTTCTCACACTGCCCTGGCCACACACTGGCCCATCCCCTATCTCCCATGCCCCTGACCTTGGTCTGTTGGGATTCACCACAGCATTTCCTGTTTCAAATGGGCCCCCGTCACTCAGGGACTGTGGGCACCTTAATGTCAGTTTTCCCTCTTATAAAACGGGTCTTTACTGATTACCCTCCGGCCACCGGAATGATCCCAGGTGGTGACGCATCTCTGCAGCGGGTACAGGGGAGTCTTATTGTGTATACTTGCCCCTGTAGCTCTGCAACAGGAGCATGAGAGATACTTAACTTCTTTAAATGTACATATTTTTTTTCTGGGGCAATAACAGCTATCTAAGCAGCCTGCTTTGCTAGCCTGGAAGGGAGACCCTTACCCAGAAGCCACAGAGCCCCAAGGCTCCTGGGGTCAGAGATAGTGTCTCTCAATTCCAGCTACATCTCCAGGGCCTACAAGATGCTGGCACACCTCAGGTGCTCAGTAAACACAGCCTCCTGCAACCCTGGAGGCTGCTCAGGTAATCAGCCACTCCTCTGCAGGGCATCTCCCTGGTTTGTGAGAAATCTGCAGACATGGCCTTCCAGGGCCTGCAGAACCGGCTTGCCAGGTCCACGGCCTCCCTCTCTCCTTGCTCATGGTGTCTGCTCATTAGCTGCCTCAAGAGGTAGAGACTTCAGTCTCGTCTGGGGAGGAGGATTAGACAGAATATCTATTACCAGAGAACAGATACTCCGGAGCGTTCAGATGCCACCCTTCTCAGCAGTTCTGCATGAAAGGCATGATGAGTGCCCATAAGAAAATGGAAACGTGTTTGGGTTGCCCAAGCACAGTGTCCGAGTATCCGTGGCTCCTGTACTCAGACGACGTCTGCTGAATAAATGAGTGAGTGACTACATGGGTGCCTTCGACGACAAGGCAGGGCCTCCTGTGGGGCCTGCCCTCTCCCTGCCCTGGCCCTGAGATGCTCCTCTGAGTCAGGAAAGGACATGATGTCCTTGGGGGGGGGGGGCAACCATCCCCACACTGGTAGGTGCTCTGGAGCGCCTGCGGGTAGGATGACAGAGTCTAGCTGGGAGGTCGCTTCCCCGGGGTGTCAACAGGAGAACCGGAAAACAGCCAACTTCTGACCATATGCCATTTCTCAGACCCCATTTTAGGAATCGACCTGTATAAGGACAAATGTTACATGTTTAAAGAGTCTATAATGTTATCACTGGAGACAAATTAAAGTACGTTTAAACCTAACCTTAGGGGACTGGGAAGGCCGCGCGGCAGCTGTGAGCGGCTGTGACGGCACAGGAAACTTTAGGGTGTAATGTGACGTCAATGTTAAGTGAAAGCACTTCTCCATATGGCATGGTCATAAGGAAAGTAAAAAGAGACAACGAGCCCTGACCGGTTTGGCTCAGTGGATAGAGCGTTGGCCTGCGGACTGAAGGGTCCCAGGTTCGATTCCGGTCAAGGGCATGTACCTCTGTTGTGGGCACATCCCCAGTAAGGAGGTGTGCAGGAGGCAGCTGATCGATGATTCTCTCTCATTGATGTTTCTAATTCTCTATCCCCATCCCTTCCTCTCTGTTGAAAAATCAATAAAATATACATATATATTAAAAAAAAAAAAAAAAGGAACAACGTGCACAGAAAAAATCTAGATAGGAAGTACCAAAAAGTTACCAGTTGTCTTTGGGGTGGGACTGTTTCTTAAAAATGTCGGACGTGTTGTGTCCTCCGCACGTTTTGAAGAATGTGGTTCAGACACCAGCTTTGGGGGAGCCCAGCTCCGTGCTGCGTGGACGCCTGGGCAGTGACATCCCTTCCTGTTCCCAGCTCCTCACGCACACACCACCTCCCCGGAAACTACCGTGCATCGGGCAGCACGAGGACAAACATAAGAAACTGTAATAATACAACTGCAAGGATGTGGGGGGAAGGGAGGATGACTGCTGACAGGTAATGGGGTTCTTTTGGGGGTGATGAAAATGTTCTGGAGTCGGGGTGGTGATGGCTGCACCACCTGGTGAGCTGCCGAGTTTTACCGTGGTGAATTCTATGGCATGTGCATGGTATCTCAATTTAACGCGTGGAAAAAAGGCGAAGGAACATCATGAAGGATGGCACCTGGGGCTCGCGCCAATGGGGACAAGGACTGAGGACAATTTAAAGCACCTGCACCTCACTCACAGCAGATGCTCAATGAAATGTGTGGCTGCTTTAGTTCTCGGCTGGGGAGGCACGGTGTCGCGGACCCTGTTAGCTCGGGGCCGTCCTGGGCAGGCTCCCGGGCAGAGAGCGAGGGGCCACTAGCCAGGAGACTGGGAGAGGAGACTCTCCACGGGGTGTGGGCGGGGGCAGAAATAAGGAGGCGGACAGCCGGCCTCGATGGCAGGGCACAGTCCGGCCACATCCCCGGCGGGAGCAGCACTCACCCAGGAAGCCCTCCTCATCGACGATGATGGTGTAATCCTCTGGGGTCTCAGTCAGACTGAAGAACTTGCACCTGTGTGGATGGACAGACAGACAGACACGGATGTCACATTAGTTCTGCGTTAGTCCTGGCCGGACACTGTGGTGACCCAGCAGATGAATCGGTTTACCCAGAGCTCTGACTGCAGGCTGCTGGTGACCTCCAGTAAGCTGTGCCTCCCCCCCGCCCCCGCCCTAACTCAGGTCTCAGAGAGGCCTAGAGATGGTGATCGTCCTCTCTGCACCCCCAGTTGGCAAGCCTCTGGGATCCTGTATAGGCTCAGATCCCACTTTTTCAGGGAGGAAGTGGCTGAAGGGTAGGTCTGGCAGAGGCCATGCAAATGAACTGTCTTATCCATGGGTCCCCACATTCCAACCTCTAGGTCTCTGTCCTGGCCCCCTCCTCACCAACTGAAGAACTCCCACTGTCATTTAAGTTCTAATTCACATCACCCAGATGACAGCCCAGCCTTCAGGCTTCTCTTCTTCTCTGCATGGGAGGGGGTGGACGTCTGTGCTGGTTTTGGGACACAGATCCCTGAACGGCCACATGTGACCTTTGGCAATACTACTTAGCCTGGGGTGTATGATGCTTGCCCCCCCCCCCCCCCCCCATCCATTTCCCAAGGCCAGGCAGGGACTGGTAATCACTCTGCCCCCTTTTATCTCATCCCTGCTGTCTTGCCCTAAGCATGCTCTTGGTGCCTGGCAGACTAGCTGGGCTCCGTGTCCAGGCTTTCCGTCACGGGGTAACAGGGTCCCCACCCCTCAATGCCTGTCTCTGTCCCCCTCAGCCAGGACGGCCCCCAGAACGGCAGCTGCAGGGAGAGACGGTGTGCACAGGAAACGTGGTCACTTATCTGGCATCGCTGCTCTGGAGCGTGAGGCCCAGCACGGGCTCCATGCCCGGCGCGTAAAACCCATCCATCACGGGAGCCGTGACAGAAAGAGGCCCCACGAGTAGCCCCAGCCATGGCCGGATATCACTCCACAGATTAAATGGGAAAGGAATCTCTAGGGGATGCAGCGCGGCAGGGACCGGGCGGCCGGAGTGACCACAGCTCGCTCCTCCTGGCCGTCCTCTCCGGCCAGCCGCCCCGTGAGACACTGAAGCCCGACCACGGAACTCGGCAGCTCCCTTTTACTTTAGCCTTTACATTTTTCACAAGGAACGAGAGCAACTGGAAGGAATGCAGAACGATACTGCCGTTTGGAAAACAGTCTGGAAGTTTCTACAAAGTTAAACGTACAGCGACCACACGAACCAGCAATCCCACTCCTGGGTACTGACTCCAGAGAAAGAAAACCTATGCACACACATACCTGCATGAAGGTCTGCAGCCTCTATGTGTGATCACCCCAAAGGGGAGAAACCCGATGCCCTCCCTTCAGCTAGAGACTTACTTGGCCTAGCGGAGGCTCAGCCACACCACGGGGTCCTGGCCGGCAATGAAGAGGAACGAATTACTGATTCCTGCTGTCACATGGATGAATCTCAAAGGCACTTTGCTAAGTTCAACCCGGACTCAAAAGGTTGCAATATATATGATTCCATTTGGCATCTGGAAGGGGCAAAACTGTAAGGACTGAGAGCAGATTCGTGGCTGCCAGGGGTTGGGCCGGGGTTGACTTTGGAGGGGAACCCAGGAACTCTTGGGGTGGTGGGGTGTTTGGCATCTTGATTGTGGTGGTGGCTACAGGATCATACGCATTTGTCGAAACTCAAAGAACTGTACCCTGAGGGTGAACTTTACTGGGTGTAAATTATACCTCCGTGAACCTGACTTTGAAGGAAATGCCTGTGCCAGCATTGTGAACAGGGTGGCACTTATTCCCCTCCCTCTGACATTCTGCCCAACCGACAGCACACTCTTCCACTTCCCTCCAGCGCTTTGGTTTGCAAATGCCATCTCTGTCCCTGCCTGTCCACATCCAATTTGCAACGACTGCCTGGACAAGTGAAATCTGTAATTGCTCGGGACAACGGCAAATTATCACCTTAGTGCGTGGCAATCACTGGTCTGGCCCAGCTCCTTCCTGGGGACTCCTGTGCACCCAGAATGAGCCTTGGAAGCCACCCCCCCCCCAACCCCCGTCCTTGGCCTGCCATAAGCAGGTACTTGCTGGGTGGGGGAGAGAGCCCTGTGAAGGCTAACAGATGTGGCATTTGCTCCCAATGCCCTCTCGGCTGTGAGGGACATTCCAGAAATAGACCATATAAATCATCCTGGAGGCACAGGCACCAGCAGAAGGCAGCATCGGCCTCTGTGTAAATGGGGTATGAATATGTCGATGCAACCGTCTCACCCTTTAAGACCCAGTTTAAGGACTGGCACCAGCCACCTCCTCTCCCTCATCTCCCACCAAACAGGCAGGTCCTCCTTGATAGCCTACAGCCTTACATTGTGCACAAGAGGGTGTTAAGGCCACTGTGGGCTGCTGGTGCCTCACAACTCCAGGGGAGAGTTCGCTCGCCTCACAGTGTATGTGAAGTTGCCCTCAGACCTGGGCAGTGCTCGACGGGAGCAACTGTGCATGATGAGAACTTGCCACAACCCGTTACGAATACTTGTTCCCCCAGCAGACCATACCCTCTCACAGGCAAGGGCTGGAGGCTCTGTACACACACCTGGCTGGGAACAGGACCAAAGCTCACTGTCTGATGAGCAATAGAGTGGACTACAGCCACATACCTACCTCCAAGGCCAGAGAAGCCCTAATCGGAACAAGCCCTATGTGCCCTGGCGTGGCACTGCCCTGATGTACCCTCTGCTGAGAGACGCTAAAGTCTCTAGTCCCAACTCTGTGCTCTCCAGTGAGTCGTGGCTAAATCCACACCATAGATGCCAGGCCCCGCTGTTTGAGGCCTCTCTGCACTTGGTCTACAAGGAGCTGGAAAGAGGACCCAAGCCCAGCAATCAGCCAGCCTACTAGGAAACCTGAGGAGGAGGAGGAGATCTGCTTGCCCTCTAGATGCCCTCGTGGTACTTAGGAACAGGATGAAATGACAGGAGAGAGCAGCCTGGAGAGCGAGAAGATGACCGCAGGCTTGGAGTCAAGGGCCTGGGTTCCAGTCCCAGCCTGGCCCCGGGTGGTGAGCCCTGGGCTGCTTCATTCCTCTGTACAACGAGGGCAGCTTCAGGGTGGGCTAGTTCCCATCCAGTTCCAGCCTGGGCAGTGCCTGGGCCACCGGGAACCCTGCCAGCTCCATAGCAGGGTGGACCAACAAGGCACGTAGACACGATTCCAGAACCGTTGAGTGTCTGGAAAATACCTTTCGAGGTGAAGTAAAAGCCCCAACCAGAAGCCCCAAGACAGATCTATCTGCTGCCCAGGGGGCTGGGCAGGTGGTGTCCCAGCTCGGAGGAGAGGGCTCATCCATCTCAGTCTGTGTGAGGAGTGCCGTAGAATCGAGAGGACACAACCTGTGCAACTGTGTGCCATGGTGACTGGGCAGGTCCTGCAGGAGCACTCAGGTAGATGGGATACAAAACTCTAGAGCTCTCACCAATGGAGGAGGGAGACTGGGGAACAGCAGCTCTGGGTGAGCCCTGGCTCGGGACACACCCCAAGAATCACGCAAGTCCCCTGTTTAGGGGGTGCAATGCATCCCTGGGCTCCGTGAACAGAGCATGGGGACTGGATGAGGGCAGGCCACACCAGGAGCCATGTCTGTTCAGAGCGTCAAGGCCAACACGGAGCCTGCCCACAGGAGCTGAGGGGACCCTGGCCTGCGCCCCTTTGGCCTGGGGAAAATTCCAGCCACCATCTTTAAGTCTCTGTGGTTACTGTGGACCATGGGTTGTAAGCCATGTGGCTGCTTATGGCTGTGTGACCTTAGGCAAGGTACTCCCTGTGCCCCGTTTTCTCATGTGTACAATGGGGATAATAACAGTATCTACCTATGTCACAGGGTTGTTGTTGAAGAATAAATGACGAAAACCCCGTATGACTATGTTGAGCACTCAATATGTTGGCTATTTCTTCTTGGTGGGCAGACAGAGCTAAAGAGAGGCAGCAGGGAGGCCAGCTTGTGTTCCGAGTAAAGAAAAGCTCTACAGCCAGCTGACTACCGAGACCAATGGGCTGGCTTGGGAGGCAGTGCGTTGCCAGTTCTCTGAAGGGTACCGCTGCCTCGAGGGGGAGGATGGATTAAGCTGAGTCTGATTCTTTGAAACACCTGGTTCCCACACACTGAGTCCAAGTAAAAATCTTTGCTGAAAAGTCTCCATTCACCTCCCCAATAGCTCAATTCCCACCAGGTAGGCCGGGAAGGAATGAGGATGTATGACGGAAGAGACGGACCCAGCTCTACACGGCCAGGGAATCTGCGTTGCAGCCAAACCTGCAGCCCTGGGCCCAACCCTGCTCCCTGACACACCACACAAAGGCCTGGGCCATCTTCAGACATCTGGTGTGTCTGAGGACAGCGGCCATCCAGATCTCGGCACCAGGGGGGTGGCCTGACCGATCGCCATTGAGTGGAAGTTCCTATTAGCATCCATCCCGCCTTCTCCACTCACCTGCCGGCTGTGCTCACTTCCTCTCGGCTCCAGACCACAAAGACCCCTAACGTAGGGCTCAACAAAGGCTGCCAGTACGTGGACTCTCCTGCAGGACCCAGGGCGCTGGGAAGTGGGAGCTAGCTTTGTGGGGTCGGGGCCTGCTTCCTGCAGGTCAGAACGCCCTGTGCCAGCCAGGCCCTGCCAGCTCCTCAGAGAACAAGCTCAGACCTTTGCCGTCACAGCCTGACCAGCCGGGCCTTGAGATGAACCCAGAGCCTTCACACGCTACCAGCGGGACCGAGAACAGTCTTCCAGCACGTTCCGGGTACCTGTTTACAAACCGTCCTTGTTTTTTCGATCAAGTAGGGCCTCTGAATGCCCATGAGCCCATTTACAATTTCAGCACCAGCCAGGAAAGCCCGGAGTCTTTCTCGCAAAGTGCAGCCATTCGGGCTGGAACCAGGGAGGCTTGGCCACGTTCTCTGCAGGACGTCACAGTGGGGACATGGAGGGGCCGGGTATGACCCACTCCGCTGCCCCCTGCCGTGCT